GAGACCTTTTCTTGGCTTCCAGTTTTACCCTCGCTTTGGATCATTTTCTTTGGGACTTTTTTTTTTTTTTTTTTTGCTTTTTGGATCACACCTGGCGTTGCTTCGGGGTTACTCCTGGAAGTGCTCAGGAGAGCCATATTGGATGCCGGGGATCGAACACGGGTCAGCTGCGCACAGTCAAACACCCTCCCCACTGGACTATTGCTCCAGCCCCTTAGGACAGTTTTATAAAAATTTTTTTTGCTTTATGGGTCACACCCGGCCATGCACAGGGCTTACTCCTGGCTCATGCACTCAGGAATTACTCCTGGCGGTGCTCGGGGGACCCTATGGGATGCTGGGAATCGAACCCGGGTTGGCCGCGTGCAAGGCAAACGCCCTACCTGTTGTGGTATCACTCCAGCCCCCATTTTTTTTTAAACTTACTTTTTTTCTCCCTCTCTTTTTTTGCTTTATGGGTCACACCTGGCGATGCACAGGGGTTACTCCTGGCTCATGCACTCAGGAATTACTCCTGGCGGTGCTCGGGGGACCCTATGGGATGCTGGGAATCGAACCCGGGTCAGCTACGTGCAAGGCAAATGCCCTCCCCACTGTGTTATCACTCCAGCTCCTTGGGACATATTTTCTCAAAGCACGAGTATTGTGTCAAACGGTATGAACGCATTGAGGCTATGTGTGCCTTGATACACATAATTTTTATTTGTTTGGGGACCACATCTGGTGGAACTCAGGGCTGACTCCTGGCTCTGCACTGAGGAATCACACCTGGTGGGTTCAGGAGACCCTATGGGATGCGGGGGATCGAACCCAGGTTGGCCGCGTACAAGGCAAACGCCCTCCCCACTGTGCTATTACTCCAGTCCCTTGAGGAACTCCTGATCATTCAGATTTCCTACCAGATCTCTCTCTCCTTGTGCCCATTTACCTCTCACCCTGCCAACGTGGGTTAATTTTGCTTGTGTACATGACTTCCTGCTTTGGCTGCTTCTAATTGATTCCAATTTAATTATACTTCCTTCTCCTACCTGGGGTTCCAAGGCAAGTCTTTCTCCGTTATAATCATCATAATTTTGTACAGCTGCTGTCTTCTTAGCCATGAACTTCCTCCTTCATTTCCTCTCTCTGAGTTATATCCCTGGGGGGCTGGGGTGGGGGGGGCTTCATCTTTCTGCAGCTCAGAACTCTGGAATATGGAATTGCCCATGTTTTTTCTTTTTTTTTCTTCCAGAAATGCAACCAAGAGCGCTCTCTCTCTCTCTCTCTCTCTCTCTCTGTGTCTCTCCCTCTCCCTCTCCCTCTTCCTCTATCTCCCTCTTACCCCCTCTCTCTTCCTCTCTCTCTCCCTCTCTCTCGCTCAGAAATTTTTTGTTTGGGGACCACACCAGGGCTTATTCCTGGCTCTGCACTCAAGGATCACTTCAGGTGGGGCTCGGGGGACCCTGGGGTACTGGGGATGGGACCCCAGTCAGCCTCGTGCATGGCAAGTGTCCTGCCCACTGAACTATTTCAAATGCTCGTCTGTCTGTCTGTCTGTCTGTCTGTCTGTCTGTCTGTCTGTCTCTCTCTCTCTCTCTCTCTCTCTCTCTCTCTCTCTCGTGCCAGGTTTGACCTATCCCTTAGACATCCCAATGGTGGAGCTAGAGCCATAGCTCAGCAAGGAGGAAATTTGCCTTGCACGCGGTCGACCCAGGTTCGATTCCCAGCATCCCATAGGGTCCCCTGAGCACCGCCAGGAGTGATTCCTGAGTGCAGAGCCGGGAGTCAGCCCTGAGCATCGCCGGGTGGGACCCAAAAAGCAAAAAGAGAAAAGAAAAAATCCCAGTGGCGCAGCCTCCCAATCAGAGGGGAGGAAGGAAGGGAGGATGGGAGGGAGGAGAAGGAGGGAGGGAGGGAGGAGGCTTCTCAGGTGCCCCAGGGAGCACGGGGAGCAGGACAGCACCAAGGCTCCCCCTCCCCCTCCCTATTTCCAGGGAGAGCAAAGACTTTTCTGGATCAGCCTGTCCCAGAGGTTCCCCGCCAGGCTATGTGAGAACAAATTTCACACGGGATGAATTTGGGGCATGTGTGTGTGCGTGTGTGTTTGTGCGTGTATGCACATATACTAAGAGACTTAGCTAGATTTGTTTTGTGTGTGTGTGTGCTAAGACAGACACTTTGCTCCATATTAGATTTGTTGTGTATGTGTGTGTATGTGTGTGTGTGCATGTGTATATGTGTGTATGTGTATTAGCGTGTGTGCTAAGACACACATTTCACTCTGTGCTAGATTTGGGGCGTGTGTGTGTGTGTGTGCGTGTGGGTGTGGTGAAGACAGACTTAGCTCCATGCTAGATTTGTTGTGCCTGTGTGTGCGTGCATGTGTGTGCATGCATATATGTGTATGTGAGCATGTGTGTGTGTGCATGTGTATATGGGTGTGTATGTGTGTGTGAGCACGTGTGAGCTAAGCCAGACTTAGCTTCATGCTAGATTTGTTGTGTATGTGTGTGTGCGTGGGTGTGCGTGTGTATATGTGCGTGAGCCGCATGTGTGTGTGCCTGTGTAAATGTGTGTGAGCATGCATGTGTGTGGATATGTGTGTGCATGTGCGCATGGTTGTGTATGTGTGTGCATGTGCGTTTGTGTATGTGCATGTGTATATGTGTGTGAGAGCGTGCATGTGTGTGCATGTGTGTATGGGTGTGTACATGTGTGTGCGTGCATGTGTGTGCGTGTGTGCGAGCGCATGTATGCTAAGACAAACTTTGCCCTGTGCTAGATTTGCTCTGCATCTTTCTGGTCTGTTGCTTTCAGCCCCTGAGCTCAGGCCCAGGAACTGTGTCTGTTTCCCAACTCTGATCATCTTTACCATCCTCCAGCTGGGGATATGCAGGGGGCATGAGCCAAGCAGCCATGGCTACACCCCCAGCTCAGACCCTGCTGTCTCTCGTCTGCTCCCACCCGCGGCTCCCTCTGCCCCCTGACACCTAGTAATGCCATCAGGGTCCAGTGACAGCCATGCTGATGTCAGTTTGTGCATGTGTGTGTATGTGTGTGTGTGTGTGTGTGTGTGTGTGTGGCAGGGGAGGGGTTACTGACAGGAGCTGACGCCTCCTTAAGCCTTTTCAGGGGACTCTCTTCTTGCTCTACTTGATACATTTTTTTTCTCTGTGTTTTTGGGCTATCCAGTGATGCTCAGAGCGTACTCCCACACTCAGGGGTCACTCCTGGTGGTGCTCAGGGGACCCTATGGGACGCTGAGGTTGCAACCCGGGCAAGGCAGGTCCCCTCCCCACTGTGCTGTCGCTCCGGCCCCTCCTTCATGGTTTTTAAGGGCTACTGCCTCCCCCAGGGAGAACCCCCCCAGTCCACCTCATATGGAATGCCCAGCCGGGACCAGCTCTCCTCTGGGGTAGCCATAAATCACCCCACCACCACCTCTGACACCCTCTGGGGTCCCACAGAGGGTTGCAGACTCCCAGCTCAGTAACCAGGACAGAGACACTTTTTTTTGCTTTTTGGGTTACACCCGGCAATGCACAGGGGTTACTCCTGGCTCTGCACTCAGGAATTACTCCTGGAATGCTCAGGGGACCATATGAGATGCTGGGATCGAACCCAGGTCGGCCGCGTACAAAGCAAACGCCCTCCCTGCTGTGCTATCGCTCTGGCCCCCAGAGACACTTTATTAAAATTTTATTTTATTGAATCACATGGGCTGGGGGTTGGAGCGATAGCACAGTGGGTAAGGCATTTGCCTTGCACATGGCCAATATGGCCAACCTGGGTTCGATTCCTCTGCCCCTCTCGGAGAGAGCTCGGCAAGCTCCCGAGAGTATCTCGCCCCGCACAGCAAAGCCTGGCAAGCTACCTGGGATGTATTCAATATGTCAAGCACAGTAACAACAAATCTCACAATGGACAGTGCTACAGTGAATCACCGTGAGATACAGTTACAAGTTTTCAAGGTTGAGTTTCAGTCATACAATGATGGAACACCCATCCCTCCACCAGTGCCCATTTCCCACCTCCAAGGTCCCCAGTATCCCCCCTTTCCCACCCTCCCCCTGCTTCCATGGCAGACAATCTCCCCCAGACTCTCTCTCTACTTTGGGGCGTTATGGTTTGCAATACAGATACTGAGAGGCCATCACGTTGGGTCCTATATCTACTTTCAGGACACATCTCCCATCCTGAGCGATCCCTCCAAACATCACTGACTTAGTGATCCCCTCTTTATGCCAGCTGCCTTCTCCCCCAGTTCATGGGGCAGGCTTCCAGTTGTCACTGTAGCACTGTCCTCCCGTTGTTCATCGATTTGCTCGTGCGGGCACCAGTAATGTCCCCATTGTGAGAATTGTTACTGTTTTGGGCATTTGAATACGCCACAGGGAGCTTGCCAGGCTCTGCTGTGAGGGCAGGATACTCTCAGTAACTTGCCAGGCTCTCTGAGAAGGACGGAGGAATCGAACCCGGGTCGGCTGCGTGCAAGGCAAACGCCCTACCCACTGTGCTATTGCTCCAGTCCAGGCTGCCAACTATGGGGCAGTATTTCTGGCCCTTGTGCCTACTGTCCTTGGGTGTGAGTCTCATGTTATGTTATTTTATATCCCACGAATGAATGAGTGCAGTCATTCCATGTCTGTCCTCTCTCTGACTCATTTCTCATGCTAAATGAGACTCTTATGAAATTTGCTTGTAAGTGGATAGACACGCAGAGACGCTTTTTCTCTGCTGCTGCAAAGCCCGCGTCCACTCGGCGGGTTGAGTGAATGAGAAACTCTCAAAGGAGGATTAATTGCTTCGGAATAGATGGATTCTGAGATGGGCCGGGGCTCAATTAACTTGTGCCCTCATGGGGCTGAGCTTGTCAATCACGCATGCACAGTACCAGCTGCGGCTCTGTGGGGGCATCACACACCAGGGTCCATCGAAGAGAGCAAACAGCCGCCCCCATGGGGTCCCGGGACCACCTGTGCTGTGTGAGCTTCCCCTGACTCTTCCCTCTTCTCCTGCAGGGACCAGGTGCTTGGCCATGATGTGCTCCCCGGTGTCTCCCATGCTGCCCGCCGGGGCGCCCCCTGAGTGACCGGGCTTGCTCTGCCCCCACTGCTCCACGTGAGTCTGAAGGTCTCGGGGCTGCAGGCTGCCCCCCTTCACCCCAGCTACCCCCTGGAGGTTTCCTCTTTAGATCAGCCAGGCCCTGGGTCATGGAATCCCAGTTTAGTGCTCGCCATTGAACTGGAGGGTGGGGGTTGATAAGGGGGGAAAAACGAGTTTAGTCTGGGTCTGGCAGCCTGCCAAGAGGGTGGGGTCCCCCAAATTCCCGTCATGGGGTCAGAGTGATAGTGCAGTGGGGGAGGGTGCTTGCCTTGCATGCGGCCGGCCTAGGTTCGATCCCCGGCATCCCAGAGGGTCCCCCGAGCACCGCCAGGAGTGATTCCTGAGTGCAGAGCCAGGAGTCAGCCCTAAGCATCACTGGGTGTGACCCAAAAAACTGAAGCTCCCAGAACGCTGTCTCTGAAGCTGGGTGGGTACTCTGGAACCCTGCAGTGAGGGGTCACTGCAGCCCCTCAACTCCTGCCGACCCACCCCCGCCTCTCTATCTAATTCATCTTCCTGTCCTACGTCCCCTTGGCTATTGGTAGGATGAAGGGGCGGTCCCAGGGTTCATCCTATGTGACCCCGCTGGGGAGACAGTGTTCTGGGCCCCCCAGCTTGATACTGGGGTGCAGGCTGAGCCCGGGCGGGGCCCCCCCGGCATGATACTGGGCTGACCCCGGGTGGGGCCCCCGGCTGCCCCTCAGCGCCGCGCGCCTCCCTGCAGAGTTGATGGGGCGCCGGGCGGATGACCGCGGGAACGGTGGTGATCACGGGCGGAATCCTCGCGGCCGTCATTCTCCTCTGCATCATCGCGGTGCTGTGCTACTGTCGCCTCCAGGTGTGTCCCGCCCCACCCCCACCCCACCCCGTCCGGCCACGCCCCCGCCACGCCACGCCCAACCCCAGTCTGGCCCGCCCCGCCCGCCCCCCGTCCAATCCCAGTCCCTGCCCCGCCTCATCCTAGTCTCTGCCCCGCCCCCGCCACGCCACGCCCAATCCGAGTCTCTGCCCCGCCCCCTCCCCGCCCCCGTCCGATCCCACTTTCTGCCACGCCCCCACCCAATCCCAGTCCCTGCCCCGCCTCATCCTAGTCTCTGCCCCGCCCCCCGCCACGACACACCCAATCCCAGTTTCTGCCCCGCCCACGCCCCGCCCCGTTCAATCCCAGTTTCTGCCCCGCCCCCTCCCGCCCCCCCGCCACGCCACGCCCAACCCCAATCTGGCCCGCCCCGCCCACCCCCCCGTCCAATCCCAGTCCCTGCCCCGCCTCATCCTAGTCTCTGCCCCGCCCCCGCCACGACACGCCCAATCCCAGTTTCTGCCCCGCCCCGTTCAATCCCAGTCTCTGCCCCGCCCCCTCCCGCCCCCCCCCCGTCCGATCCCACCCTCTACCACGCCCCCGCCCAATCCCAGTCTCTGCCACGCCTCATCCTAGTCTCTGTCCCGTCCACGTCCCGCCCCATTCAATCCCAGTCTCTGCCCCGCCCCCGCCAGGCTCCCGTCCGATCTCAGTCTCTGCCCCGCCTCTTTCCAGTATTTTCCCCGCCCCCTCCCGCCCCCATCCAATCCCAGCCTCTGCCCCGCTCCCGCCAGGCCACGCCCAATCCCAGTCTGCCCCGCCCACGCCCCTGCCCCCGTCCAATCCCAGCCTCTGCCCCGCCCACTCCCCGCCCCCGTCCAATTCCAGCCTCTGCCTCGTTCCCGCCACGCCACGCCCAACCCCAGTCTGGCCCGCCCCGTCCGCCCCCCCCCCCCCCCCCCCCCGTCCAACCCCAGTCCCTGCCCCGCCTCATCCTAGTCTCTGCCCCGCCCCCGCCACGACACACCCAATCCCAGTTTCTGCCCCGCCCACGCCCCGCCCCGTTCAATCCCAGTCTCTGCCCCGCCCCCTCCCGCCCCCCCGTCCGGCCACGCCCCCGCCACGCCACGCCCAACCCGTCTCTGCCCCGCCCCCCCCCCTTCAATCCCAGTCTCTGCCCCGCCTCATCCTAGTCTCTGCCCCGCCCCCGCCACGACACGCCCAATCCCAGTTTCTGCCCCGCCTCATTCCAGTATTTTCCCCGCCCCCTCCCGCCCCCATCCAATCCCAGCCTCTGCCCCGCTCCCGCCACACCACGCCCAATCCCAGTCTGCCCCGCCCACGCCCCTGCCCCCGTCCAATCCCAGCCTCTGCCCCGCCCACTCCCCGCCCCCGTCCAATTCCAGCCTCTGCCTCGTTCCCGCCACGCCACGCCCAATCCCAGTCTGCCCCGCCCACGCCCCGCCCCCGTCCAATCCCAGTCTGCCCCGCCTCATCCCAGTACCTGCCCCGCCCCGTCCCAGTTTCTGTCCCTCTCCCATCCTGTCTCCTGTCCCTGAGACCCCTGTGTCCCCCTGCCTCCTAGTATTACGTAGCCCCCTGACACCCTGTGTCCCCTCCCCAGTATTACTGCTGCAAGAAGAGCGGCGTGGACGATGCGGCCGAGGAGGACGAGGAGGGTCCCCGCGGCCTGGCCTGCAACGCCTGCAGCTCCCGGGCGGACCCCCTGGGCGGGCTGGCGCCCCTCCCCAGCGAGCCCCGCGCCAGCCCCTGCCCCACCTGCTCCCCGCACGGCTCGGCCTTCTACATCCGCACGGCTGACCTGGTGCCCAACGGGGGCAGCGAGCGGCTCACCCTGGCTCCCGCCTACTACAAAGAGGGGGCGCCCCCGCCCTTCAAAGTGGCAGCGCCCCAGCCGTTCCCGGTGACGTGGCCGAGCTCGGCGCGCGACGCCTTCACCAACCCAAGGGCTGTCAGCACGGATGTGTGACCCCCGGACCCCCGCAGCCCCCGGGGGGCCACCTCCCAGGGGGCCGGGCTCGCGGGGGTGTCTGGGCTGCATTTCGGGGTGTGCTAAGGACCAGGGCTGGACCCGTGCCCTGAAGGTGAGGGTCTGGGGGCACAGTGGGCAGTGATGCCCAGCTCTCAGCCAGCCCAGCACACGCCCAGCACCCGGCACTACTGGATGGACGAAGGACAGGACCAGGGCAGAGACTCCGAGACCTGGGGGCTTGCAGAGTGACCAGGAGGCTGCAGGGCCCCTCACGATGGACTCACTGTCCAGTTACACACCCCTCCCGCCCCCCTCCCCCCGGAGGCGGCTGCGATTTCTCCATCCCGGATGCTTCAAACACAGTCACGTTTGGTGACACCAGCGATGTTCCCCGGGAGCACAGCTGTGACCCCTCCCCACGCGGCTCTGAGCCTGCACCTGGGTCCCTGTCCCCGTTTCTCAAATGGGGTTCACTGCAAAGCCACAGCAGAGCCCAATGAGGCGACACAGATCCCATCTGCGTCCCCTGGGAGAAGTTGAGGTCACTTAAGCAGAGCTGAGCTGGCCCGTGGCCCGTGGCCTGGTCATCTGTGCTGGACCTTGTCCACTGCACCCCCCAGGGCCCTCGGCAGCCTCAGGAGCTGCAGATGAGAAGCAGGTTCGAGGCAGCTGTTCAGAAACAGCTGGAAGGTGACGGGGTGGGGTCACTGAGCCACATTCCAGAGTGTGGCAGGCGGGAGGGGGTGACTTAGCAACTGGGGTCCAGGCTTTCTGTCCCCCTCTGCACCCCCACACTTCCCAGAACCCCTGGATCACTGTCCCCTAGCCCCACTTTTGGGGGGCCACGCCTGACAGTGCTGGGGGACCGTATGACGCGAGAGATGAAATCACCCCCCCTTGTCCACATCCTGTTTCTGCATGCCAAGGGCCTAATGCGGTGACCCCAATTTTTGGGTGGGGCCATGTTTTCAGGGGATGATGTTGGGGACTGAGCTCCGGGGGGTCCCACGCATGAAGCCTGCTCTGTGATCCCTCCGCATCTCCCCAAAGCTGAGCCCCGCCCTGCGCTCTGGGTGGGGGGGATGTGCTCTGGGCATCTTTGGGGGTCACAAGCTCCTCACGGGGCTCTGCAGTGCCACCCCAACTGGTGGGAGCCGCGGATGGTGGGGTGCCTGCCAGAGGGCCCCCTCAGGTCCCCCATGCCTCCCGCATTCTGCCCCGTGCTCTGACATGGGTCCGGAGCTGTACCCCAAGTCCAAGACTCCCCAAGAAGACGGGCTGCCCTGGTTTGTCCAGCCCCAGGAGGACTGGGGGTCCAAGAGGACATGAAGAGAGGGGAACAGTCCTGAAGCACAGGCAGAAGCTCCCCAGTTCCTTCAGCCCTGTGGGACTCTACTCAGGAGACATCTAAAGTGGGGGCAAGACCCCCCAAGACCAAAGGGACCTCTTGGGACAGCACCTCTCACTCCCCACTCACTTCTGGCCCTGACCAGGCCAAGTGCACCCCTGGACTTGGGCAGCCCACCACATTCTGGCCGGTGCCGCACTGGGCCCCTCCACACCGTCCTTGCCCCTCCCCCAACTCTTAACTGCTGGTCCCCCCCACCCCCGACCCCGGGTCCCACGTGCAATCCCAGGAAGCTGAGCCCGGGTTCAGGGCACCAGCCTTTCTCCCGATGGTCCCATCGCTGTCGGGGCTCAGACTCACACTGGCTGGCTGGCCGGATTCCCAGGGCTCCCCCCACCCCGATAGCACCCTGCTCTGTTTCACTCGGGCCTGTGCTCTCGGCCTCCCTCTGGACACTTGTCACATGGCCCCCGGGACGGGACAGAAGGAGCCGCCTTGTCTGCACGCGGGTGACCCCCAGGAGGAGCGAATAAAGGAGGCGTTTGGAACACACCCTGCGGCAGCGTCTCGTTCTTGCCTGTGGAGGATCCAGGATGGTCTTGGTTCTGCCCTGATGCCAGCTGGCACTCCCCGGTGGCCCCCAGATGTAGCCTCTGTGCCATCAGGGGTGGGGGAGACTGGGGTTGGGGCAACCCTGGGTCACGAAGGCTTTTCGGATGCCCCCAACCTTGAAGCTCTTGTGTGATGCCCGGGCCTCAGAAATGGGGTCCCTCGGGCTGGAGCGATAGCCCAGCGGGAAGGGAGTTCGCCTTGCACGCAGCCGACCCGGGTTCAATCCCCAGCATCCCATAGGGTCCCCCAAGCACCTCCAGGAATGATCCCTGAGTGCAGAGCCAGGAGTAACCCCTGTGCGATGCCAGGTGTGACCCAAAAAGAAAAAAAAAGAAATGGGGGCACTCACCTGTGTGGAGTACTTGTCAGTGGCCTGGGGGGCCAGGTCTGGGATCTGCAGACAGAGGAAGCCCACAGGGTCCCCCAAGTACCACCAGCAGAGACTCCTGAGCACGGAGCCAGGAGTGAGCCCTGAGAACCGTCAGGTGTGACCCAAAGCCCTTCCTCCCCACCCCAAAATGACAATTCCCAGTCACTAAATAACTCATAGCAGTCCTCGTCCTTAAAATGATTTGCTTTGGGGGATAGATCGATAGCACAGCGGGGAGGTTGTTGGCCTTGCACGTATCAGACCCAGGTTCGAGAACCGGCATCCCATAGGGTCCCCTGAGCACCACCAGGAGTGATTCCTGAGAGCAGAGCCAGGAGTCAGCCCTGAGCATCTCCAGTTGTGACCCAATTATATATATATATATATATATATATATATATATATATATATATACACACAAATATATGAAAAAGAAAGATTTGCTTTCAGCATTGAGGCCCAAGCTGGACTATAGTGGAAGTATGTACTGCCCTCTACTGGTCGACTGTGTATTTTTTCAAAATCTCATTATTCTGCCCCAATTCAGGTTCTCAGCGGGTTGCCTTGATCTGACACTGTTAGAGTCAAAGCTCCTGTTCTTAATACTTTTGGATTCCAGCGTGTCCTTGTTTTCCTTTATTTTTTTTCACATCTGTAGCCGCTTTCAGGAACCCTGACAACTTCACCGCCGTGAAGGCTCGTGACGTGGCTTAAGCGATTTCTAAGCGAGTTCTTGTTTCACTAATCTGCAAGAACGAATCCGATTTTCAATCCTGATTCAGATATGGGAGAAAACGACCAACAGATTCATAGTTAGGGCGATTGAGAAATGGTCCAAACAGACGAGCATGTGCTTTGGGTGCTGGAGGCCTCAGGGGATTCTCTCCCTAGCACTGAACGACACCCCCAGAATGGCCGGGAGTGACCCCCAAGCATGGAGCAGGGGAAGAACTAGCCATGCTGTGGCCCCCTCCCCACAAAATAATCCCAAAATGAAGAAATGATGTTTGATCACTGATAGTCTTCTGTCTGTGTCTGCATACTATACAATATCAGGATCAGGATCATCCTGTTGTTCGTCAATTTCCTTGAGCAGGCACCAGTAATGTCTCCTTCTTCCTAGCCCTGAGATTTTAAAAGAGCCATTTCAATGCTCTTTCAGGATTAGGAGAATGAGACCCATCATGGTTACTGGTATTTGGCATATTGAGTACGACACGGGAAGTTTGCCAGACTCTGCCGTGCGGGCAGGATACTTTTGGTAGCCTGCTAGGTTCTCCAAAGGAAAAATAAGATAATAAGATGTCGTGCGGCCGCATTTGTGGCCACGCGCTTCCGGCAGCTGGGTTTTATAGTCTCTGCGTCTTGGCCATTGATGGGACCAACCTGGCGCTGGCAGCAGCTAGTGGGTGTGACGTTTACCTACTGGAAGATGGGGGGTCTGGGTGGAGAAGGCCCAGTCCCAATCCGAGTAGGCTTGGAGACCTCAGCCCTGGTACCCGCATGCCTGGGTTCTTCTGCCAGTTCTTTCATGCATGAGGCCCGTCCGGACGTGTGGAGAGTGGTCCCAGCATGGCCATGGTTGGCTCCGGAGGTCCTCAGCTCCTGGGGCTCTGCTTGGGGCGGGGGGGAGGGGAGAGAAACTCAACCCTCCCCACTCCAAGGGGCCCCGGTGAGGACAGCCAGGCGCAGAGGCAGGAGACTCTATATATTATATACCATATATAAACGGGCTGGAGTGATAGCACAGCGGTGGGCGTTCGCCTTACAAGCGGCCAACATGGCCGACCCGAGTTCGATTCCTCCGCCCCTCTCGGAGAGTCCGGCAAGCTACCGAGAGTATTCGATATGCCAGACACAGTAACAACAAGGTCTCCAATGAAGACGTTACTGGGCCCGCTCGAGCAAATCGACGATCAACAGGAGGGCCTTTACTTTTCCGGAGAGCCCGGCAAGCTACCGAGAGTATTCGATATGCCAAACACAGTAACAACAAAGTCTCCAATGGAGACGTTACTGCGCCCGCTCGAGCAAATCGACGATCAACGGGAGGGCCTTTACTTTACTTACTTACTTATATATAAACAATTATTCCTATGGAATGAGTAATAGTGTTCAAAGTACTTTAATTTTGAAAGCAGCAATGAAAAAAGAAAACGATTTTTAATATAGAAAACTATATTTCAAATAGAATACATTTTGCTCAAACTGGCAAACAAAACATCAAAATGAAGATTAGCATTTTCCATAGTCTACATGATATTGATTAAAAATCGCTTCTGTGAAGGAATCACAAAGGTGTTTTCTGGTCCATTTTTCCAAATGATTCTTATTTTCGGGGGACAAAAGGGCAAAGTCAGATCTTGCTTTCTGAAAGTATTTTTCTACAAATCAACTGGAAAAACCTACCTTTATTCGCATTAAATGCTACGCCTAGTGAGGTGAAATAATTCTTTTCTCTTTAATATTCACTTAGGTTTGCTGGGGATTTTTTTTGGAGGAGGGCCACACCTGGCAATGCTCAGGGCTTACTTCTGGTGATGCTCAGGGGACCAAATGGGATGCTGGGAATCGAACCTGGGTCGGCCGCGTGGCAGGCAAACGCCCTACTGCTGTGCTATCGCTCCAGCCCCCCAATCACTGTTTGAATGAGAAAGTGCTGAGATTCTGGTGAACCAAGAGTTTAGTACAGAGAGAGACATTTACCTCCATATTCAGCTTGAAAACGATTGATTGGAAAGGGCTGGTATAAAGTAATAGGCTGGACTCATCTTCTCATGAAAGTTGAACTATTAGAAGAAAAAGGAAGAAGCGGGTGGGAGGGAGAAGAGAGAAAGGAACTAAAGAAGTAAAAAACAGATGCAAAAGAGAAAACGCAGAAACTTGACACTGCTCTGAAACCAGAAATGGAACTACGAATACATTCAGACGAGATTTTAATGATCTGAAAAAAAATTTAAATACAATATAAAGTTTGGCTCTAAAAATAATCACCTTGTTCCTACGTAAATATTCTGCTTTTTTATTTTTATTTTTTAAATGACTTGGAAGTAGCAGCAGAAATACTGAAACATCGTTGCTTGGAATTACACTGAACCCTGGAGGTTTACAGAAGCGAAAACATTTTTTTAAAAAATTGGCGCTTTGAAATTTTTCTGAATCATACTGAAATGGAAAACCACATTGAATCAAACAGAGAAATTAGAAATCTTTGTTTCGACTTTGATCTGAGTTGATCGGAGCGGGCAGGAGCTGGGGTCAGCTCAAGGATGTCTCAAGGCACCTCTGGTACTAGGAGTCAACACGCTGGTATTGGGGGTCCCTGGTACTGCCAGGGGTCATTCCTGAGCACAGAGAAAGGAGCAGCCCCAGAACACTGCCAGGAGCGGCCCCCAAGCAGAACAAAATTAGTGCATCTATACAATAATCCTACATTATTTTATCTTTTTTGCTTTTGGGGTCCCACCCGGTGATGCTCAGGGCTGACTCCTGGCTCGGCACTCAGGAATCACTCCTGGTGGGGCTCGGGGGACCCTATGGGGACCTGGGGATCGAACCCGGGTTGGCCGCATGCCAGGCAAACGCCCTCCCCACTGTGCTCTCACCCTGGTCCTCCAATTTGTATTTCCTGATGGCGGTTTTGGGGGTGAAGTTTTTGGAAGACCACGTACCGCAGCACCCCCCAAAGAACAGAAGAAGATTCCTTGCAGATAAGCAGCTTTTCCAACTTAGCTCATTAACGGAATACAATCACAGTCCCTAGGGAGATTGCAGTGAAACACTGCGTTTCCTATTTCCTCATCATTCAAAAGTGCAAATCAACACCCGATTCCTTCCAGCCTGCAGGTTATCCAGGTGCCTTCTGAAAAACCACCTAGCATGCGCGAGAGCCTTTCCTCCCTCAAAATCAGCCTTGGCGTTGATGACAGGCCTGTGACAGCTCTGCCCACTGTCCCCCTCAGCCCCTAAGGCAAGGAGGGTGCGCTCTGTGCGATTACAGCCTCCCGGGGCTACGCCGGCTTTTGCTGACGTGAGTTCGGGGAAACTGCAAGGAAGGGTGGAGGTGCTCGGGGAAACTGCAAGGAAGGGTAGAGGCGCTCGGGGAAACTGCAAGGAAGGGTGGAGGTGCTCCCTGAACACCGGCGAGGAAAACGATCAGCTTTGAACTCGGTTCAGGGGCATCCTTCCCGTGCTTTCTCCCGCTGTCCCCCGAGTCTTAGGCTCCTGGGTGCCCCCCCCACGGGGGCCTAGCTGAGGGTCACGGGGCAGCCGTGCTCCTCAATGCCCGCCACGGGCTGGACGGGCAGCACCAGGTGGGAGATGCGACTCCAGAGGCCGCTCAGCTTGTCCGCGTCCATGCGGTCGTGGGAGCTGGGGGCGCCGGCGTCGGTGAAACGGGCCCAGAGCAGGTCCCGCACCTTCTCCTCCGTCTCCCGGGGGCCCAGGCTGGCCACCAAGCTCTCCTCGTCCAGCAGGACGGTGAGCACCAGCGCCACGTCCTTGAAGGCCGCGTGCTCGTGGTCGCAGTACTTGTAGAAGATGAGGGTGGCGCCGGCGGGCAGGGACTCGAACCGGTGGACCACGGCCGCCTTCTGGCCGCCCTCGAAGCCCCGGCTGAGCTCCAGGTCCACCCACAGCTTCACTGTGTCGCTGTCCTGCGCCCCGCGGGCTGCGCCGTCCAGGCGGATGGATGCTACCTTCTGGGCGGCCGTGTAGGCGTCGGCCACTTGGTGGCCCAGACAGCGGAGGGTCTCACGGCCGTCGCGGGCGGCGGCCAGCAGGATGGTGGCGGGCTCCGTGGGCCTGGAGGCGTTGAGGTGTTTCTGGAGGAACTTGCGGCCTCTCTGCCACAGGTAGGGGCTCTGGCCCGGGTACTTCTCCGGCAAGCGGCTGAACTGCATCAGGAAGGCGTCCAGGGCTGGTTTCCTCTCGGCCTGCTGGGCCGAAGACGAATAGAAGCTACTGAGAGGAAAGAAGACGACCAGAGCCACCATGGAGAGAAAGACGACGCCTGGTAGAGGGGATGAAAGACACAATTAGGGGCTGGAGCGACAGCATGGCAGGTAGGGTGTTCTTTGCCTCGCATGCGGCCTACCCGGGTTCGATTCCCGGCATCCCATATGGCCCCCCAGCACTGCCAGGAGTAATTGCTGAGTGCGGAGCCAGGAGTGACCCCTGTGCATCGCTGGGTGTGACCCAAAAAGCAAAATAAATAAATAAAAGACCCAATTAGGGACTGGAGCCATAACACAGTGGGGAGGGCGCTGGCCTTGCACGCAGCCGACCCGGGTTCGAGCCCCCGCATCCCATAGGGTCCCCCGAGCACCACCAGGAGTGATTCCTGAGTGCAGAGCCAGGAGGAACCCCTGAGCATCACTGGGTGGGACCCAAAAAGCAAAAAATTTAAAAATTTAAAAAAGACAGAGGGGCTGGAGCAATAGCACTGCGGGTAGGGCGTTTGCCTTGCATGCGGCCGACCCGGGTTCAATTCTCAGCATCCCATAGGGTCCCCTGAGCACCGCCAGGGGTAATTCCTGAGTGCAGAGCCAGGAGGAACCCCTGTGCATCGCCGGGTGTGACCCAAAAAGCAAAAATAAATAAATAAATAAATAAAATAAAAAAGAAAGAAAGAAAGAAAAAGGTTTATAAAAGAAAGATACAATTAGGGACTGGAGCGATGGCACATTAGGGAAGGCAGTGGCCTTGCACAAGGCCAATCCGGGTTCGATCCCTGGCATCCCATATGTGACCCAAAAAGACACAGTTAGGAACTGGACTGATAGCACAGCAGGGAGGGTGCTGGCCTTGCATGCAGCTGACCTGGGTTTGATTCCCAGCATCCCATAGGGTCCCCCGAGCACCGCCAGGAGTGATTCCTGAGCACAGAGCAAGGAGTCAGCCCTGAGTACTGCCAGGTGTGGCTACAACAAAATGTGAACTGTTATGGAGATGCTGACTATCAGTGATGACAAAGATATTCACACCTGTGGGGCTGGAGCGATAGCACAGCGGATAGGGCGTTTGCCTTGCATGTGGCCAACCCGGGTTCGATTCCCGGCATCCCATAGGGTCTCCTGAGCCACTGCCAGGAGTAATTCCTGAGTGCATGAGCCAGGAGTAACCCCTGTGCATTGCCAGGCAGGTCTGACCCAAAAAGAAAAAAAAAATATTCACGCCTCCTCCTCTGGTGCTTTGGGGAAAGTCTTCCTCTCCTTGTCTACCAAGGTGAGAAGGGCCATTTTTGCCTAAAGAGCAAAGCATTAAAAAAAAAAGAAAGAAAAAAAGGCCATTGGAACAGTCAAAACTGAAAAGGCAATATTTGGGTATTTTTTTCTGATTTATTAAAAGTCCTCCCTCTTTGGAATTCTCATTTTCACTCAGGATAGCCAAATATTAGCATCCCCATAAGAACAATGCCTAAATCTCAACTATTCCATTTCTAATTGGACTTTTTGTTTTTTAAATGATATGAAGGGGCTGGAGTGATAGCACAGCGGGTAGGGCACTTGCCTTGCACCCGGCCAACCCGGGTTCGATTCCCAGCATCCCATATGGTCCCCTGAGCACCACCAGGAGTAATTCCTGAGTGCAGAGCCAGGAGTAACCCCTGTGCATTGCCAGGTGTGACCCAAAAACAAAACAAAAAAATGATATGAATACCAAGTCAAAAATACTTAAGTCAGGGCCAGAGTGATAGCACAGTGGGGAGGGAATTTGCCTTGCACGTGGCTGACTAGGGTTCGAGCCCCAGCATCCCATAGAGTCCCCCAAGCACCGGCAGGAGTGAGCCCTGAGTGCAGAGCTGGGAGTCAGCCCTGAGCACTGACGGGTGTGACCCCGAAACCAACAAAAACCAAAGCTAGTCTACTCGCTCTGTTCTCTGTGGGCTTCTGAGCGTAAATCCACATGGTAGGAAAACCCTTCTGGTTCTCACCCCAGCTCAAAATACCCTTGGGACTGCTCTTCCTCACAGTGTCCTGGCCGGATTCTCTCTTTTCTTCCAGTCGCTGTGGCTCTTGGCGCTGACCTTCAGCTTCTGGTGGGGATAAAAATCAAACAGATTGTTATATTTAGATGTGAGAACGTGTCTGTCTCTCATTGGAGGTCTTCCCTGCACTGGAGAATTTTCTCTGATAGAACTGTGAGGCGGGGCTTGAGCGATAGCACAGCGGGGAGGGCATTTACCTTGCAGCGTCAGAGTTAAGAAAGTCGAATTCTCTAGCCAGAATCTGGAAAAAACCTGAGTGCCCGAGAACAGATGACTGGTTAAAGAAACTTTGGTACATCCACACAATGGAGTACTATGCAGCTGTTAGAAAAGATGAAGTCATGAAATTTACATACAAGTGGTACTACATGAAAAGTATCGTATTAAGTGAAATGACTCAGAAAGAAAGGGATAGACATAGAAAGATTGCATTCATCTGGGGAACATAAAGTAACAAAATAGGAGACTAACACCCAAGAGTGGCCGAGATTAGTACCAGGAATTTTATTCCATAACTTGGAGGCCAGACGCACACTCTAGGGGAAAAGGCAGCTCAGATAGAGAAGGGAGCACCAAGTAAAGGGTGTTGGGAGGATCCTCCCAGGATGGGAGAAGCACGCTGAAAGTAGACTATAGACTGAAGAGGATTGCCACTCAATGCCTCTTTTGCAAACCACAACACCCAAAAGGAGAGAGAGAACAGAAGGGAATGCCCTGCCACAGAGGCAGGGTGGGATGGGGGGATGGGGGGTGGGAGGGATACTGGGACCCGTGGTGGTGGGAAATGGGCACCGGTGGAGGGATGGGTATTTGATCACTGTATAATTGAAACCCAAGCACAAAAATTTGTAAGTCTACAACTGTACCTCATGGTGTCTCACTAATAGAAATTTTTAAAAATAATAATAAAATAAAAGAAACAGATACGATAAAAAAAAAAGAAAGAAAGAAAGAAAGAAAGAAAGTCGAATTCTCAAATCTCTGCGACCCTGGGGAGGCCCAAGGGCCTTCACACTCCTCTCCCTGGCCTGACATTCTTCTCAGCCAGTTGGCATTCTGGAACATTCTCTCACCTGATATCGGTGGCAGCCGCCGATGCCTCACTGTCTCCCAGGACTCCTGGGCAGCGGGCACTTCTGTGGGGGAGTCCCCTACTTGCTTGGGGGCTGTCTCGGCCCTGCCGACCTCTTCAGAGGGAAAGGCCTGGGGGTCTTCCAGCCTCTCGGCCCGGCCTGCCTCGTCATGGAGAGGACGGGGAGCCTCCCCAGGCTTGGACAGCTCCGGGCCCAGATTTTTTGAGGTGCTTCGAGGTTCGCGATCCTTTGGGGATTCTGCATCGTTGATTCCGGCCGGACCTTCTGACCGGTTCTCTGGGTCTACACTCTCGGAGTCTATATAGAGAGAAAAATCACCCTTGGAAAAGCTGAACCCAGATTGGTCTATTTTTTTTGGGGGGGGGGTGTTACACCTGGCCCTGCATTCAGGAATCACTCCTGGCAGTGCTCAGGGGAACCATATGGGATGCTGGAAATCGAACCCGGGTCGGCCGTGTGCAAGGCAAATGCCCTCTCCGCTGTGCTATCTCTCCAGCCCCCGATTGGTGTATTTTTAAAGGGCTTCCGACTGCTAGTAATTCCGTGTATTTTTGGGGCATCCAAGGTCCCCAAATATTATTTTTCTTGACTACCCCGCAGGTGGGCAGGAGCGATAGCACAGCGGGTAGGACGTTTGCCTTGCACGCAGCCGACCCGGGTTCGATTCCCTGCATCCCATAGGGTCCCCGAGCACCGCTAGAGGTTAATTCCTGAGCGCAGAGCCAGGAGTAACCCCTGAGCATTGCCGGGTGTGACCCAAAAAGCAAAATAAATAAATAAATAAATAAAAGATGATGATGATAAAATTCTGGGAGAGCTGCCCGCTCCCCACAGCCTTTTATAGAGTCCAGCAGTGGGCCAGGGGAGGGTGTTTGTCTTGCCTGTGGCTGACCTGGGTTCGATCCCCGGCATCCCATAGGGTCCCCTGAGCACTGCCAGGAGCTGGGTGTGACCCAAAAAGAAAATAAAAAAAGGAAGTCGAGTTCTCAAATCTCTGCGACTCGGGAGAGGCCCAACGGCCTTCATGCTCCGCCTCTCCCCGGCCTGACTTTCTTCTCAGCCATTCTGGCATTCTGGAACATTCTCTCACCTGATACCGGTGGCAGCCGCCGTTGCCTCACTGTCTCCCAGGACTCCTGGGCGGCGGGCACTTCTGCGGGGGGGTCCCCTGCTTGCTTCGGGGATGTTTCACAGCTGCTCTCTGAGGGGCCCTCAGCCCAGCCGACCTCTTCACGGAGACAGGCCTGGGGGTCTTCCAGCCCCTCGACCCGGCCTGCCTCGTCATGGAGAGGACGGGGAGCCTCCCCCTGCCTGGACAGCTCCGGGCCCAGATTTTCTAAGGTGCTTCGAGGTTCGCCATCCTTTGGGGATTCTGCATCGTTGGTTCCGGTCGGACCTTCTGACCCGATCTCTGGATCTACACTCGCGGGGCCTATTTCCTCCACTTCCACGTGGCCCAGGTGGGGATCAGAGTTGGGGTCCCCCAGCTGAGCTGCTTCCCCGGTGCTGGCGGGGGCTGGGGCCTCCTGGGCCATTGGGCGGGTCGCTGACTCTTTCTCCAAATCCTCGGAGTCTACGGAGAGAAAAATCACCGTTGGAAAAGCTGAACCCAGGGACTGGAGCAATAGCACAGCGGGGAGGGCGTTTGCCTTGCACGCAGCCGACCCAGGTTCGATTCCCAGCATCCTATATGGTCCCCCGAGCACCACCAGGAGTATTTCCTGAGTGCATGAACTCCTGTGCATCGCCGGGTGTGACCCAAAAAGAAAAAAAAAATGATGAACCCAGATTGGTGGTATTTTTTGTTTTGTTCTGTTTCGGTTTTTTGCTTTTTGGTCACACCTGGCGATGTTCAAGGTTTACTCCTGGTTATGTGGCTCTGCGCTCAGGAATCATGCCTGGTGGTGCTTGGGGGACCCTATGGGATGCCGGGGATTGAACTTCGGTCGACTACATGCAAGGCAAACGCGCTCCCCGCTGTACAATGGCTCTGACCCAGATCGGTGTAGTTTTAAAGGTCTTCTGACTGGTAGTAAATCGTGTATTTGGGGGGGCATATCTTGACTACCCCTACAGGTGATTTTAAAAATCTTAACCCTTTGGGCTGGAGCGATAGCACAGCAGGGAGGACGTTGGCCTGGCACGTGGCTGACCCGGGTTCGATTCCCGGCATCTCATAGGGTCCCCCGAGCACCGCCAGGAGTAATTCCCGAGTGCAGAGCCAGGAATCAGCCCTGAGCATCACCGGGTGGGACCAAAAAAGCCAACCATCCCCCGCAAGATATCCCCAAACAATTCCCATTTCTTTTATTGATACAGCTAAGAAATAACACAGCTGACACTGTGTTGGAAATCAACTTTTCCTTGTGTGAAATATATCTTCGTTTCTTATTTTTTGGTTTTGGGCCACAAACTGGCAATGCTCGGGGCTGACACCTGGCTCTGTGCTTAGGGCTCACTCCTGGCGGGGCTTGAGGGATCCTATGGGATGCCAGAGCTCAAACCTGGATCAGCTGTGAGCAAGGCAAGCGCCCTCGCTGCTGTGCTACCTCTCCAGGCCCCTAGGTCTGGTTTTTTTTTTTTTTTTTTGCTTTTTTTGAGGCTGGAGTGATAGCACAGCGGTAGGGCGTTTGCCTTGCACGCAGCCAACATGGCCGACCCGAGTTCGATTCCTCCGCCCCTCTCGGAGCTACCGAGAGTATCTCGCCCACACGGCAGGGCCTGGCAAGCTCCCCGTGACGTATTCGATATGCCAGACACAGTAACAACAAAGTCTCCAATGGAGACGTTACTGGGCCCGCGCGAGCAAATCGATGATCAACGGGAGGGCCTTTACTTTACTTTTTTTGGGTCACACCCAGCGATGCACAGGGGTTACTCCTGGCTCTGTGCTCAGGAATCACCCTTGGCAGTGCTCAGGGGACCATATGGGATGCTGGGAATCGAACCTGGGTTGGCCGCGTGCAAGGCAAATGCCCTCCCCGCTGTGCTATCGCTCCAGCGCGTTTTTTTTTTTAATTAATCTTTTTCTTTTTGGTATTTTGGGGTCATAGCCGGTGATACGCAGGGGTTCCTCCTGGCTCTTCACTCAGGAATCACTCCTGGCGATGCTTGGGGGACCCTATGGGATGCCGGGGATCGAACCCGGGTCAGCCGTGTGCAAGGCCAACACCCTCCCTGCTGTGCTATCCCTCTGGCCCCTAGGTCTGGTTTTGAACAAACCAATGGATATAAAGATATTGATGAGGTAAATCTGAAAAATATACATGCCAGATAGTTGATACTAAGGAATGACTCACATCTTTACATATGCTTAAGGTACTGTGTTGTATACATGTGTGTTTGTATATAATATATATGTATATATTTGTTGTTTGGTTTTTGGACCACTCCTGGCAGTGTGGGCTTCCCCCTCGTCCTGTGCTTGTGGGTCACTCCTGGCTCTACTTGGACAACTTTCATTCTATGCTATTTTTACGTTACTTTTGCTGGAATTCTCCCAAGCGTGCTCAGGAGTCCCCTCGTAGTGGTCCATGCCAGGGTTCAAGGACGTGGTGCTGCCAGGCGATGTGGTGGCCTGGATCACATAGCCACCAAGAATATAGCAGGGCCCCAGGGTGCACCAGGCGATGCTCAGGGCCGTATGAGACAGCGCTGAGTAGACCGATGCGCAGGGCCGACTCAGTTCGCCCTGGACTATCTTTCCAGCCCTGGTTGTGTTTGTTCTGTTTTAGGGCCACACCTGGTGATGCTCAGGCCTGAGTCCTGGCTCAGCCTCAGGGATCACTCCTAGCAGGGCCTGGAGCACAATAAGGGGTGCCGGGGATCGAACCTGGGTCGGCAACATGCAAGGCAAATGCCAGAAGGTGAGAGGATGAAGGAGCCGCCATCGGTTTCAGATGCAGTTCCCCTCCCCCGCACCATTATCTTTAAGAGACGTCCAGGAGAGGCTAGAGATGCATCTCAGTGCAGAGACAGGGCCTGCAGTTGGACAGTCCTGGGTTGGATCCCCAAAACTGCCTGTCTCCAAGCACCCCAGGACTAAATGGTGGCTTCAGACACTGCCCAGTATGTGCTCCCCACAACCGAGAGAGAGAGAGAGAGAGAGAGAGAGAGAGAGAGAGAGAGATAACTCAACTAAAAAATTTACAAATTGGGGGCCGGAGCGATAGCACAGCGGGAGGGCATTTGCCTTGCACATGACCGACCCAGCGTCCCATAGGGTCTCCCGAGCACCACCAGGAGTAAACTCTGAGCATCACTAGGTGGGGTCCAAATAAAAAGAAAAAAGAATTTACAAACTGGTGAAGGGATAGGTGTTGGAACATTATATGTCTGAAACCCAATCACAAACAGCTTTGTAACTATGAAAAAAAAAGAATAATTGAACTTAGAAAGAAATACAGAATTTACAAATAGACTGATAGATCAGATCTGCATTTCTGGGCTGAGGCCAACAGGAAAATCAGCATTCTGGAGGGACAGGCAAGGCAGGTTCTAAGCACTCAGGATTTTGTTGTATTGTTTTACTTTGGTGCATTTAAAAGACATCCTAGGGGCTGGAGCGATAGCAAAAAGCAAAACAAAAACAAAAACAAAAAATCCTAAAGTATGTATGTTACATAATAGATACATATAGGTGTACTGGTTTGGGAGTCACACAAGGCTGGTTTTGGGGGCTGCTCCCACAAGTGCTCAGGAAACAGTTAGGGACAGAACCCGGGCCTTCTGCAAGACATAGTTTTTTGGGTTTTTTTGTTTTGTTTTGTTTGGTTTGGTCATACCCGGCGATGCTCAGGGGTTCCTCCTGACTCTACACTCAGGAATTACTCCTGGCGGTGCTTAGAGGACCCTATGGGATGTCGGGGATCGAACCCAGGTCAGCCGTGTGCAAGGCAAACGTCATACATGCTGTAGTATCTCTCTGGCCCATAAATGATATTTTATTTTATTTTTATTTATTTATTTATTTATTTTGCTTTTTGGGTCACACCCGGCAATGCACAGGGTTACTCCTGGCTCTGCACACAGGAATTACCCCTGGTGGTGCTCAGGGGACCCTATGGGATGCTGGGAATTGAACCCGGGTTGGCCGCGTGCAAGTCAAACGCCCTACCCGCTGTGCTATTGCTCCAGCTCCCATAAACGGTATTTTAAATATTTATTTGTTGGGGTACTGGGAAAGAAACCCAGGGCCTCAGGTGAGGAAGGAGAGGGCTTTATTGCTAAGTCATATCCTCACGATGAAGAATTTATTATTATTTGTGGCACGGGGTGGGGGGAGGGCACACCCCGTTATGCTCAGGACTGACTCCTGGCTCTGCACTCAGGGATCACTCCTGGTGGTGCTTGGGAGAACCTCTGGCATGCCGGGGATCGAACCCGGGTCAGCTGTGTGCAAGGCCAGCACTTTCCTCGCTGTCCAATCTCTCCAGCCCCGGGATGAACAATTTAAATTTCATCTCTCCTGTCATTAGAAGATCCTCTCTAAGTATATAGCACGTCTCTTTTACTGGCATAAAAAAAAAGTAACTAAACTGTGTTTCCTGCCCAAGTTTGAAAGATGCACTGTAGAGTTACAAGCTAAAGGTTCCTACATCAAAGTCTGGAAGGATTTCTTTTTTTTTTTTGGATCACACTCAGTGATGCTTAGGGGTCTACTCCTGGCTCTGCACTCAGGAATCACTCCTGGTGGTGCTTGGGGGACCCTATGGGATGCTGGGAATTGGACCCAGGTTGGCCATGTGCAAGGCAAACGCCCTCCCACTGTGCTATTGCTCCGGCCTCCAGGATTCCATTTCTTTATGACTAGGGCTGGCACTGCATAAGATGTGGCAAGTATGAAGAAGTAAAATAGAGCCAATGGAAGCGGTTAGTTTTTTACCATATTTCACCAAGTAACCGTCAACCATCTGGGTGTCTGTTTTCAGTAATACCTGCAATAGTATTATTATAATTTTTTTTTGCAATATTATTTTTTAAGCTTCACGGAATGGGTGCACCCCACTTTTGGGGGCAAAATAATTTGGCATCAAATCGGTGGCAGTCACGCAGTGAAATACGGTATCTCCCAGCCTCGGGTGCAAAGCTGGTGGCAGGCTGGTCTTACCCTCCGGGTGTCCCCTAAGTCCTTCTCTGCCGGCCATGGCTGTGGGCTGCTAGCTCTTCGGGCTGCTCTGAGTTTAGTGCTCGCTTAGATCTTGCTGTCTTCAGGGCCCCTGTCCCAATATAGTCATGCTCCCCGCGGACCCAGCGCCAAGATGCTAACGGTGGCTGGAATGAAAGGGAGAAACGTGAAATGACTTTCCGTTCTCGGCACCAGGCGGGAAGTGCCCCGTTTCCGCTTCGTCGGTGATGCCAGCCAGCTGAACCCCTCTGACGCTGGACTAAAGAGAAAACCCAAAACCGGTCCTTGGGCTTCAGCGGGGGAGCCTGTTCCACATCCGAGAGAGAGCGTGACCTTGACACAGGTGCTGTGACCTGCCCCCTCTCCCCAGGTGCCAGGGTGAGGGATGGAGAGAACCCCAGAGCCCCCAAGGATAGGAATAAGTGCGATTCTCAGCGGAAATGGAAGCTGTACCCAGGTCATCACCCCCGTTTCTGCCCTCACTTTTTGTTGGTTTGTTTTATGGGTCCCACCTGGTGATGCTCAGGGCTGACTCCTGGCTCTGCACTCAGGAATCACTCTTGGAGGTGCTCGGGGGACCCTAGGGGATGCTGGGGATCGAACCCGGGTCGGTCACGTGCAACGCAAATGCCCGCCCTGCTGGACTAAAATTTCGTTGTAGAAGACAAAGGTTACCGTCTCTAGACACGCTCTTTTTATAAAAGCACCAGCAATTTATAAATAATATTTTTTTTCGGGAGGTCAGAGAGCATGCGGAGGGTCTAAGACTTGCCTTGCATGCAGGCAACCCAGGTTCGATCCCCGACATCCCATAGGGTTGCTGAGCACTGCCAGGAGAGATTCCTGAGTGCAGAGTCAGGTGTAAACCCTGAGCATTGCTGGGTGTGGCCCCCAAACAGAAAATAAAATTCCTTAAAAAGAATTAAGACGAGGGGCTGGAGCGATAGCACAGCGGGGAGGGCGTTTGCCTTGCATGCAGCCAGTTTGAGTTCGATCCCCGGCATCCCCTAGGGTCCCCCAAGCACTGCCAGGAGCGATTCCTGAGTGCCGAGCCAGGAGTCAGCCCTGAGCATCGCCGGGTGCGACCCAGAAAGAAAAATTAAATTTGGTTTTATAATTCAATCTTATTTGGGGGAAGAGTCAAAATAACAGTCACCCAAAGCTACTAAACCGTGTCTGGGAAAATGATGAAGTGGGCGGCGAGGATTGGATAGAACCAGCCAGGAAAGGGTTTTGTCAAGTGTTTGATGATCTGGTTGAGTGGCAATATCAGAGGTTCTGGAACTTTCTGTCCTGCGACCAGAGCGCTAGTACTGTGGGTAAGGCCACTGGACCGGGGTTTAAAACCACAAAAATCCCCCAAACACATCTGGCCTTCTGCCCGTTTGCAGGAAATCACAGGCCTGAGAGGACACTGTGCATTCAGGTGATGGGGGGCTCACAGAGCCCTGGGCAGAGGGAGCTGCTCTCGCTTTGGGACAATTGCTGCCTCTGGCGGGAACTGCCTTGAGGGCTGCAAACTGGTTTAAGCAGGAAGTCTTCTTGTGTGAGGATGGGGACCTCACTTCATTCTAAAGGGGGCTGGGGAGGGTACAATTCCCGGAGACACTGTCCTCCCATTGTTCACAGATTTGCTTAAGTCTCCACTTTGAGACTTGTTACTGTGTTTGGCATTAACGAATACGTCATGGGTAGCTTGCCAGGCTTTGCCATGCGAGCGAGATACTTTCGGTAGCTTGCCTGGCTCTCCGAGAGGGGCGGAGGAATCGAACCCGGCTCGGCCAGGTTGGCTGTGTGCAAGGCAAACGCCCTACCGCTGTACTACTGCTCCATCCCGGAGACACAAAACACAAAGTAAAAGGGACACCAATTGGTCCTATGCCTCAGGTCACTCAGGGTTGGATTTCCAGAACTTTCTGTTCTATCTCCTCCCACTGGGTGATACCCTGGTGCGTTTCACGCTCTGGGACGCTGATAGAACTGGAGTCCCACAGCATGGTCACTGCTTCCAGGAAACAGAACCCCAAGCTCTGTAGGGGGTGGGGGTGGGGGGGTGCGGTGCAGGGAGGGGGGAGTGAGGGAGCCAGGCTATCTGTGCCCTGGGCACTGAGCTGTGATGTTCAGAAACTTTGGCCTTTTAAAAATTATTACACTGCATTCTTTGCACACAAGGAAAAAGGGGTTTCGTTCTTTTAGGCCACACCCGGCGATGCTCAGGGTTTACCCCTGGCTCTGCACTCAGCTCCTGGCAGTGCTCGGGGGACCCTATGGGATGCTGGGGATCGAACCCGGGTCGGCTGCGTGCAAGACAAACACCATCCCCGCTGTGTTATCGCTCTGCATAGAAAAAGACTTAAAATGAACATGAGGGCTTAAAGGATGGGCCGATGTCATCAACCCTAAGGGCCCGGGGTTCGGGCATGTGGTGGGTGCCGGAAGTCTTGGGGTCCCTAATTTCCACCAGGGGTGCTCGCAGTGAGCCCCGGCAGAGGAACCAAGCAACACTGCATCCGTGGACTGAGGCTGACCTGCCCCAACCCAACTGGCTCAAGAATAGCCCCTGAGCACTGCTTAAGGAGTCTTCCAACCCAGCCCCCACCACCTCCAACCCATAAAGATCTGTGACGTGAAAATAGACTCTTCACCTTCCGTTTGGCGCTTGCCCTGTACAGAGGGGTTGGGGGGAGGGGGAAATAGCAGAACGGGGCAGGTGGCAGGTGGGGACTCACCTTGACGCATAGAAGCTTCGAGAAAGAACAGGTGTGTGCTCGAGGGCCTTACACCTGGGCACACAGGCCAGCGCTGCTTGCTGACTTGGGGCATTTTGTTGGGTGGGCAGTGGACACACTCACTTGCAGCCCAGTGCCCAGTCCAGTCCTGGCAGCGTTTAGGAGACCCCCATGTGGTGTCTGCACCCCTGTACTCCCTCCTTTATTTTTTTTTGCTTTTTGGGTCCCACCCGGTGATACTCAGGGCTGACTCCTGGCTCTGCACTCAGGAATCACTCCTGGCGGTGCTTGGTGGACCCTATGGGATGCCAGAGATCGAACCCAGGTCGACCGCGTGCAAGGTAACGCCCTCCCCGTTGTACTGTCGCTCTGGCCCTCGCTCCTGCTCTTGGGATCAAGGCTCGAGAGTCTTAATTTCTGAAAATGGTCCTAAGTCGGCTTCTACCAAAACACCAGGCTTGCCCTGAATTTTGGTCCAAGGTCTTTGTCGACCACCATCTCCCCTCCATATGGACAAAAACGAGGCTTGTTGAGTCCCAACCTTCACTGCATCCTCACCCTGACAGTTCTGAAGTCTCCAGAGACCAGGAAGAGCCGGACATGAACCCCGGCAGGGAGGCAAGGAGCAAGAAGGGCTGGAATCTGCCCTCAGATGCCAATTCAAGAACCAGCCTGAAGGTCAGGGGCCTCAGCTGGGACAAGGCCCTGCCGAGTCCCTTGATGATTTGTTTGTCACTGCATGGTGGGCCAGATGCAACTATTATGACCAGTGCACGGTCGTCAGACCCAACCGACGCTTTGTCTGCTTAAAAGCGTCCCACACTTATTATTTTGTGCCCGACGTCATCTTTTAGGTTCCTGAGAGCAAAGGGGGTTGCTCTGGTGGCCCTCAAAGCACCGTCCCGCTGGGGAGACGCAAGGAAACAGACGCAGCTGTGAGCCTTTATTAAGCGCCTTGTTTTGTGCTGGGACCACACCTTGGCGATGCTCAGGAGTTACTCCTTGCTCTGTGCTCAGGGATCACTCCTGGCAGTGCTCTGCGTACCATATGGGACGCTGGAGTTCGAGTCGGGGTGGGTTGTGTGCAAAGGAAGTACCCTCCCCTCCAGTCCATAACCCTCAGTCTTAGGGAGGCGCCTGGTCCTTCCCACCATATACATGAGGAAAAGTGGGTGCAGAGAGAGGGTGAGAATCTTGCCCAGGAATACACCAGGGCACCAGGCGTTAGGATTTGAACTCTGCCGGCTGTGTGCCCTGCAGACTTGGAACCAAGATGCCACACAGCTGATAGCAAACCTATTTTGGAGCGCCGAGTCTGGGTTTTTGCTTTGTTTTGGGGTGCCCCTGGAGATACTCAGGCTCTGCGCTCAGGAATTACTCCTGGCGGTACTCCGGGATACGGGATGCCTGGGATCGAACTCAGGTCAGCAGCTGTGCTAGTGCTGTGCCTCCGAGTCTGAGCTTGACGCGAGTCTCCAGACATCTGGGCTGGGTGGCTCCTCCCAGGGCACCCACTGGCCTCCCAACGTTACAGATTTCCGTGCTGTCGACACGCCCCTTTTCCTAAGCGAGACTGAAGTCATTCATCACGTCGGGCCACTTAGGCTAACACCGACTCCAAAGGCCCAGCCGAGGGGCACTGTGCTTTCGGGGAAGGTTTGGCTCTCCCTGACAAACCTCGAATCCTTCTCAGACACTCCCTGGCCTGTAGCTCTGACCTGTGCTGTGTCGCCCTGCACCTAACTTTCAGTGTTACCAAGCCGGAGGCAAGTTGGGGCACCCCAGTGTCACTGGATAGAGGTCCAGATAACAGAGCCAGTCTGTCTCCCTCTGCAGTGCATGGGTCGCAACTGCATCCCCGGGTTCTAGGGACCCCAAGGTCTAAAGACGGACAAAACGGGGCAGGTGGGACCCCGTGGAACTGTGGGTTGCGGTGCCAAGAAACGGTTTTCCTTCTGGGCCTGCCAGGTGAGGTCCCGTGGGCCTTTTCCTTCTCAGCCAGCCCGGCATGATTTCATCTGTTCTCGCTCCCTCCGGAGAGAAACAGCAAAGTCCTCTGAGGAACGGCCCCGCCGACAGGCCGCTGAACGAGAAGCCCTTCCGGTCTAGTCTCCCAAAGCAGTGTGTCCCCACGGGCCCAACAGCCGCCCACCCTCCAGACCTCCAGATCACTCGTGGTGAGGATTAAGAACAAGCCTTGGGGCCTTGAAGCTGGTTATTTGTACCGAGGACGACAGGGTGGGTTGGGGTAACCCAGTCCCGCTGGCTGCCTGTGCTCCTACGGTCCAGGGCTGGGCGGAGGAGCGCATCCTTGATCCGTGGGATGAACACGATGTGACTGCTGGGTGCTGGCCGACAGCAGGCAAGGAGTTAACCCACCTGAAGGCAAAGCGGCCCCTCTACTCCCATCTCCTGCCTTTTTGAGGTGCTGGAATCAAACACAGGAGTGTAATGCAGAAGTCTTACCTCGACAGCTCCCAAGTACCTTCCTACAAGTAACATGAAAAACGAGTGGGTTTTATTCCTTTATTTGGCCCAGAGGTCACGTCCATCGTTCATCTATGTTGGGGCCACATCTGGCGGTACTCAGGGCTGGCTCCTGGCTCTGTGCTCAGGCATCACTCCTGGCGGGGCTCAGCGGGCCAATGTGGGGTGCCGGGGATTGAACCCGGGTTGGCTGTGTTCCAGGCCAACGCCCTCCCCGTGGGCTCAGGATGATTTAAATGGGAACACTGAACAGAACTGTCTGGGAGGAGCATTAGAACTAGAATTCATTAGTCCTGAATATTGGAATAAACGAGAGAAAGGCAAGTTATCTGGAAACAGCGGCACAAGCGAAGTCTGACGTCAATAGCAAGGCCTGGTCATTGTCACCACCTGTACCTTTCTGTCCTATAACCAGACTTTGGGGTTCTCAAGCTAGAGTCTCTATATGACTTTTTTTCTTTCTGGGTCCCACCCGGCGATGCTCAGAGTTCCTGGCTCCACACTCAGGAATCACTCCTGGCGGTGCTCAGGGGACCTTATGGGATGCTGGGGATTGAACCTGGGCCGGCCACATGCAAGGAAAATGTCCTCCACGCTGTGCTATCACTCTGGCCCTTGAGATTCGAAACGAGAATCATCTACGGGACTATTTATAGAATGCAGATTCCTGGGTCCCCAGCGCAACCTTATGAAACAAGCCCCAAAGCATCAACCTTTCTAGAGAGCCAGGCATATGCACTGTTCGCCAAGCCCTGCCAGGGAAACACCAAAGCTCTCCTTCACTCAAAGGAGCGATGAGAGGCTGGTCTGGGGGGGATCAGAACCCCCCTCTCCTCTAGGGGGTGACGGCTCTGAGGCTTCTGCAGGTGCTGACGCCGTGGAATCCCCACGCCGCACCACCAATGGGCGTTTTCCCCCACTTGTCTGACAACGGACGCAGTGCATTGCTGGGCGCTCGCGAGAACACTGAGGGGTCTTAGGCAAGTCTGCAGTGCACACCGTTTATTGAGCAATTACAACAGCGTGAGACACGGGGTGGGCGCAGGGGAACAAGCGGCCGAGGGGCCACAGCACGGGGCAGGCGTGGACGGGTGACACACCGGCCAGTGGCTCCCCGCGCCTCACCTCTGCCAGGTCACCCAGCATCCTCCCTGCACCGGACTTTCTAACAAGACGCTGGAAGCAATCGGAGGCGTGCTTGGGGGTCTTCCACCCCGCTCCCAGCGCGGGCCAAGGACGGCGTCGAAAGAAAAGCCCCCTGCCCTCCACTTTGAGCTTTTTGCATGGAAGAACTGCAGAGAAAGCCATAAGCCACACGGGGGTCAGCAGGGAAACTGGATCCCGGGAGGAAGGGGGGGAAGGGCAGAAAGATCTGGGGCTTTGATAACAACTTGGGACTGAAAACCGGCCAGTGAGCTGCCAACACTTCCTGCTTCTCAGGCCTGCGTCTCCTTCCGGGATTCTCAGAAACGGGGGACAGGCTGGGTTTTGGGGAAGGCGTTAGTCGCCCCCTAGAGCTGCATCTTACATGCAGAGCCCAGCACGGGGACCCGCTGAGGTTCTCAGGGAAGCTGTTGGCTCCGGGAGTCCCAGAAGTCGGGTTGGCAGCCATCCTGCGGGTTCTGGTGGCACCTCTGGGGTGCCAACGGACAAAATGCCGATTCTCGGACGGGGACCAGTTCGCAAGAATGTCACGGCCACACTGAGAATGGGCCAGAGCCGATGAGATTAAACGTTACAGGGGGGAAAATTATACATACATTAATATACGTATCATTATCACTAATGTATAAAGGAAGGAGAATTTTTTCTTTTTTATTTTTTTTGGTTTTTGGGTCACACCCAGCAATGCTCAGGAGTTATTCCTGGGTGCTTCTGGGGACCCTCTGGGATGCCGGGGATGGAAACCAGGTTGGCCACACACCAGGCAAACCCCCTTCTTTCTGTACTATCGCTCCAGCCCCAAAGGGAGAATTTCTAACAGTGTTATTATTTGGGGACTTAAGAGTTTGGGCCACACCGGGCAGAGCTTGGGGGGTCCTATGCGCTGCCGGGGACCAACCCGGGGTTGGTCACGTGCCAGGCAAGGGTTTTAATCCCCGTCCGATTTCTCTGGCCCCACAAAGTCATCTGTTTGCTGGAATAACCTAGAAGCCAGCTATTATAAGGATGCTTCCCCATCAGAGTCAGGGGCCAGAGAGACCGTTGTCAAGACGAAGCACCCGGGAGGGGACTCTGCTGGGACCGCCTTGCCAGTGTGCCAATCGGGTTGCGGGGCTTTTTAGGCAGGCAAACGCTTAACGGTTCTGGGGGGGGGGGGGGTGGGTGGGGCGCAGCCCGGCTGGGATCCGCTCATCCGAGCCGAGCTGTGCCACCCACATGGGGACAGTCCCCGCACGTGCGCGGACAGGCCTTCCTCCCGCCAGGAACCGTCTCCCCAGCTGCCCCCAGCCCCGAGACGGCTCCGGGGCCGGGACCGGTCGCGCACAGACTCATTTGCTCTGGCCCAACTTTTTGTTCAAGGTTTTGTCCGTCCTGGTCAAGACCAGCTGCAGCGCGGGGTTGAGCCCGGCCAGCCTGGAGTCGTGGATGCGTTTCCGCACCAGGGGGGGCCCCAGCAGGAAGGGGTGGCAGGCCTTCTCAAAGGTCCACCTGGTGAGGTTCTGGGGCGCCCATTCCAGGGGGAAGGACCACGGGAGGACCAGGCTGCGGTTGGCGGGGTTGTCGGGGTAGCACTCGGGGCAGTAGTCGGCCCGGTTAATGCGGTCGAGGAAGACCTGGTAACACTCGTTCTCCACCAGCTCCGTCTGGTACAGCCAGTGGCCCAGCTCGAGGCTCGGGAACCACTGCTGGCCGCAGTCGGGGCAGTGGGAGTTATCGGAGAACATCGGGCCGGCGGGGGCGCGCGCGCACACACACACAGAGAGCGACAAGGCAGTGGGGACCGTGACAGAGCGACTCGGAGGGGCCCGCGGCAGGGCGGGCCTTAGCGACGCCCCAGTCCCGACATGACTCTGCTGCGGTCCCTCTGCCTCGGATCTTCACGACCCCCGCGGGGCCGCGTCTCACTCAGTGGCCGCTCAAGTCTCTGCCACCGCCTACAGCCCCGCGGCGCAGGACACGGGCCCTCTCAGGCTACGTGACGCCCGGGGTCTGGTGGCAGCAGCCGGTGGCGCCTTCTGGGTGTCCTGCGCTGGCGCTGGCGCGCTTGGCCGCTGTTAATGCACGTACCCAAGTCCCAAGGCCTCCGGTGGTTCTTCTAGACGGACGTTCGCTCGGGACCCGGATGCGGTGGCAGCTGGTGGCGGCGGGCGGGAAGGCAGCGGACACCTGCGGACGACAAGGCTTCAGACACGGCACCGTTTCCTTTCTGTTTTGGGGTCACAGCCGGTGATGCTCGGGGGTCACTCCTAGCGGTGCTCAGGGGACCACATGTGAGGCCGGGGATCGAACCTGGGTCGGCCGCATGCAAGGCAAATGCCCTCCCTGCTGTGCTACCTCTCTGGCTCCACAGCTTTTCTTCTTTTGGGGGTAGATTTTGGGGCTCCCCCCAGCTGTGCTCAGGGCCTACTTCTGTCTCTGAGGCCAGGGGGCCCGGACGGAGTGGCAGGAATTGAACCTGACGCTGCGTGCCAGGCCAGGGCCCACCCCTACGGCACTGTGGGCTGGTCTGTCGGGGTTTATTCTTACGCTTCTTCGGGAACTACAAAAGGCTTCACTTTAGATGCATAAACATCAATTTTTATAAAATTCGCTTTTTAAGTGAGGGGGGAAGATTTCTCTTGTTCTGCTTCTTTGCACCACAGAAATAACAAGATGCGTAAGATGCCGTTTTTTTTGGTTTGGCTTGGATTTTCTTTGGCGGTGCTCAGGGGACCCTGTGGGATGCCGGGAATCGAACCCGGGTTAGCCAGGTGCAAGGTAACCGACCAGCTGTACTACTGCTCTGGCCATAAGTGAATAGTCTAAGTGAATAATGTTAACAGCTAAGCCCAGCCCCTGACCTCTCATCCCCTCAAGCAAAAAAAAAAAAATTTAAAGCATCTTCCCTTTACAGAATAAGCCGAGGGGCTGAGTGCATGCCCAGTGAGTCCGGCACCCAATGGTCCCCAAAGCACCCCGAGGACTCGCCCCGCTTAGCATGGGCATGGCCAGGGAAATTCCTGGGGACAGAGGCCAGGCTGGTTTGTGCAGGGGTGCTGTTCCTTCACAGGGAGCCGGGGAGGGGTGCAAAAAACTCGCCCTCCAAGGGGGCCACTGCCCGGAGCCATGCCTGGCCAGGTCAGTTGATGAACCTGCACCCCCCCAGCAGCGAGGGGCTGAGTGCCCCTTTGTTTTTTTTCTTTTTGGGTCACACTCAGCGATGCTCAGGGGTTATTCCTGGCGGTGCTTGGGGGACCATATGGGATGCCGGGGATTGAACCTAGGTCGGCCGCGTGCCAGGCAAACGCCCTCCCCGCTGTGCTATCACTCCGGCCCCGAGTGCCCCTTTGAACCCTAACTCTCTCCACCTCCCGGCTACTGCTCAGGGCTCTGGAGAGGCTGCAGCCACCCACAGTCTGAGCTCACGGGGTGATTTATTACTCAGGCAGGGCCAGCCAAGTGGGGGTGCATCCAAGCCTGGACGCCAACACCCGGGTGGCCCGGAGGGAGCCGGGCGACTCAGGCTTGGCTGGGGCACAGAGATGCTTAAAGGCCCTTTCACAAACCGCCTGCAAAGCAGTTTCGATTCTGTGTGAGTGAACTGGGGGGGGGGGCGGGGGGGGGGGATCAGAGCTATTTCCCACTTCCGGGTGGCCTGGATGCCTTGGAATTTCATCGATCTCTCCTTCACGAAAGCTACGCGCCCCCCGCCGGTGCTCAGTGCTCATCCCTCCTGGGCAAGGGGGAGTACAGGGTGCAAGGCCTCCCCACTGTTATCTGTCGGGCCCCAGATCGCAGTTTCTAAAAGGAAGAAGCTGCAACCTGTCTCTCTAGCCCTGGGTCGGGCTTCTCAGGGGCTCCAGTTACAGATAACACGCAGTATGCTGATGTCAAAGCAAAGGAGCTTAATTTTGGGTGATCAGAGGTCAAACAGGCAATGCTGAGCCTTAAGAGAAATTCTGGGTGATTTTGTGATGAAGTTTTTGGTGATCTGAGGCAAATATACAATTATGAGAAATGCTGCAAAAATAACAACAACAACAAAACCCAAATCACCATTATTCTAATGACGAGGAAACAATGATTTAAATGACTGTGAAGACCATCATCACATATACTCTAAGGCCCAAAGCTAAGCATTAGGGGCACAGAGAAGAACTGGATTGGTCTTCTTCGGGAAATTCAGACCGAGACTGTGTATTTCAGGGCAAGGACTTATGATGAATATTAAAAAGAGATCACAGGAAATTCGGGAAGGTCCAAAAATTAAGGGGGAGGGGGCCGAAGTGATGGGACAGAGGGCAGGCGTTCACTTGCACGTGGCAGACCCCGGTTCGATTCCCGGCATCCCGTCTGGTCCCCCAGCACCACCAGGAGTGATTCCTGAGTGCAGAGAGTAATTGCCAGCGGTTAGCAAACAAATACTATTTCCTTCCCTGGAGTGTTCTATCCTTCAAAATTCTGGGTTCTGATCAGTATCTTTGGCCAGTTTCATACCGGGTAGGAATCTTAAGGGTTTTCTGTCACAGCAACTAGTTCTGAAGGGAGATGATGGGAAATTAAGTGTAACCACAGAGTCCCTCTTCTTTCTGAGCTCACCTCACCCAAAATAAATCTTTGGGAAAATAAGTCTAAAAATACGTACTCCTGGGGACGACCCGGATTTGATCCCGGCATCCCATAGAGTCCCTCAAGTACTGCCAGGAGATTCCTGAGTGCCGAGCTGAAGTAATCCCCAAGCGCTGTCGGGTGTGGACTCCTCCCCAAAATAAAACAAAAAAATGAAAAAATGAAAACTAAGCACCGGGGGTGGGGAAGAGTCTCCAGTCTGTTTTGTGAGGAACTACTTTTAAATTGGCCACCCTGAATGCCAGGGGGAGAAGGCAGGCGCTTCTCTTCTGCACAATTGTACATCACGGACAGATGCCCGCGTGCACACGCTGTCCCCACCAAGGGACAGATAAACCCGGGGGGAAGCAGACCGAGGCAGGAACAGCTGCAGGGTCCTCGGGCTGGAACTGTGGGCACAGGTGATGTCGGGCTTGGCTGGCAGCCCACAGCGAGAACAAGAGCCGAGAGATTTATGGGCGTATTTCAGGCCACCTTGCTTCCACGTCCCAAGTCCAAAGTGCACACTCCACCAAGTTTCGATTTAGCCTTGGGGCCACACCCAGTGATGCTCCTGGCTCTGTGCTCAGGAATCACTCCTGAGCGCCCTCCCCGCTGGACTGTCCCTGCGTCCCTAGCTGCAGATTTTCTTTTTGCTTTTGGGGGCCAACCCCAGCGATGCTCAGGGGTTCCTCCTGGCGCATGCACTTAAGAACCACTCCTGGCGGTGCTCGGGGGACCCTAGGGGATGCCGGGAATCGAACCCGGGTCGGCCACGTGCCAGGCCAGCGCCCTCCCCGCTGTGCTATGGCTCTAGTCCTCCTAGTTTCAGATTAAAACAAAACCCAGCAAGCTATTCTTGATGGTCGACAGACAGCGGCCAAGAGCGCGTTCTCCCCAAGCCCGAGTAATCCGTGAGCAGCCCAGACCCCTGGTCTTCGGGCTTGAAAACTGGACTTCTAGCTCGCACCCGCTGTCAGATCCCCAGTTTTATTGGCGCCCCAAGTTCCCGTGCATTGGAAACCGTCTCACAAAACTTGAACCCGAAAGGCCCCGCCCTGGTTCCTTCTGGGAGTTGCAGTTTAGGGACTGGACATCTCGAGTCCTTCCGGTACGACAAAAGGCACTTCCTCCAGGCTACTATTATTTTCATAATTTGATTTTTTTCTCTTTCTTTGGCAGGGGGGCGCAGTGAAACCCAGGTCTTGTCCATGCAAGACATGCGCCCTGCCACCTCTGGCCTTGGTTTTAGGGACAAAAATAACACCCCAGAGGGGGGCGGGCACTGGGGGTTTCAGAGCTGGTGCCCCGCGGTCTTACAAAGTACAGATAGCGCAGGAAAGGCTGCCCGACGGCCGGCAGGGCTTGGAAGTTTCTGGAATGGGGAAGCCAGAATGGCGCACTGTGGCATTCAAAGTGGACCTGGGGCGAGGCTGCAGAGAGCACAGCAGCTAAGTGCTTACTTTGCGTGCAGCCGACCTGGGTTCAATTCCCGCTACCCCCCTCAACCCCCCAGGAGTGAGTCCTAAGCGTAGAGTCAGAAGTCAGCCCTGAGCGTCGCCGGGTGTGGCCCCCCTCCCCCAACAAACCAAAGCAACACAAAAGTCAATTTGCAATGAGCCTAGCACATCACGTCTTTTTACATGCCGTCTGCCAAGGGTTCAACCCAGAGATCAAAACGACCTGATGTGTTGAGGTAGTGGAAGCGAAGGGGTTAATTCCCCCCCTTTCTAGTGAAAGGGGAAGGAGCCCAATTAAGTCATTAGCTTCCCTTTATGGAGCCCCTGGACTCTGCCTTTAGAAACTCCAATTAGGGACTGGAGCATAGCGGGTAGGGCATTTGCCTTGCACGCGGCCAACCCAGGTTCGATTCCCAGCACCCCTTAGGGTCCCCTGAGGGCAGAGCCAGGAGTAACCCCTGTGCATCGCTGGGCGTGACCCAAAAAAAAAACAAAAACAAAAAAACCTCCAATTAACTCCATGAAGCTCCGTTTCAGAGGCGACCGGGCAACCTGAGTCAGAGGCCAGAAAAATCCAATTTGGCTCTAGTCCCGAAATCGCCGCTTTAAATCCAGGCACGGGGCTTTTCGCCTGCTTTCCTGTGTTGGGGTGGGGGCTGGGGGTAGCACCAGCCCCAGTTATGGCCCGTCACAAACAACATATACCGAGTGCTTCTTGGGGGACACGGCCTAACAAGTCGATACCAAGATACAGAAATATTGACAAGAATCTGGGGACGGAGACAGGGGATTTGATTGCAGGCAGCGTGTATGGTTCCCCATCAGCATCGGTGAGGCCAGAAAAAAATTTTTTTTCTTTTAACACAATTCAAATTCCAAATGCAAATAAATAAATAAATAATCAGCTTATCTCTTTTTTCCCCCTAAGCTTCTAGGGGAAAAAAAAGTTCATCTGTTTTTTTCTAAGCTTCTTAGAAAAAACAACCAACCAACAACAACAACACAGTTGATTTCTCTTGCTTTCTAAGCTTTAACCCGAGGAATCGAAAGGACAAGGTCCCTTTGAGTAAACTTTGCTTTTAGAAATTTCAAGTGCCTTTTCGGGGAAACTGTGGATTTTCCTGGAAGACCAAATCAACGCTAAGCTCTAGGCCGACAGCAATCCTATGCATGTCATATGAGGCGCGGGCCCCAGACCCCTCCAATCGTGGGCCAAGGTCCAGGGTTGCCGCTGGGCTGGCGGCGGACCTCCAGCTCGTTCCTGGAGAAGGAAAGTGAAATAGCGTTTCCATGAGTCACTCCCTGGCGAGATAAGCCAGCGGCGGGGATGGGAACCCCATGGACTCTGCATCACACTCGCGAACAGAAAACTACCACTGTCAGTTGCTCCCACCAGGTACACGAAAACCTTCCCAGCCTGTTTTGTCGGGGGTCGCTTGCAGAATCCTCCCAGCCCGTGTTCGGGGGCTCTGACTTGCAGAATCCACCAAAGCCTGTTTCCAGGGGCTCTAGCCTGGAGAATCTCCCTCCCCCCAAATAAACTCATTTTATTCGAATAAACTGGCCGGTTACAAACTAATTCAGGACTGGGCTGGGGTGTGTGTGTGTAGGGGGAATGAGTGTGTGTGTGTGTTATAAACTAATTCAGGACTGGGCCGAGGTGTGTGTGTGTGTGTGTAGGGAGAATGAGTGTGTGTGTGTGTGTGTTATAAACTAATTCAGGACTGGGCCGGAGTGTGTGTGTGTCTGTGTGTGTGTGTGTGTTATAAACGAATTCAGGACTGGGTCGGGGTGTGTGTGTGTGTGTGTGTGTGTGTGTGTAGGGGGAATGAGTGTGTGTGCATGTGTGTGTACGGGGAATGTGTGTGTGTTATAACTAATTCAGGGCTGGGCAGATGTGTGTGTGTGTGTGTGTGTGTGTAGGGGGAATGAGTGTGTGTGTGTGTGTGTGTGTGTGCGTGTTATAAATTAATTCAGGGCTGGGCCGGTGCGTGTGTGTTTGTGTGTGTGTGTGTAGGAGGAATGAGTGTGTGTTATAAACTAATTCAAGGCTGGGCCGGTTTGTGTGTTGTGTGTGTGTAGGAGGAATGTGTGTGTGTGTTGTGTGTGTATAGGAGGAATGTGTGTGTGTGTGTAGGGAGAATGTGTGTGTGTTGTGTTATAAACTAATTCAGGGCTGGGCCGGTGTGTGTGTGTGTGTTGTGTGTGTATAGGGGGAATGTGTGTGTGTGTAGGGAGAATGTGTGTGTGTGTTATAAACTAATTCAGGGCTGTGTGTGGAGGAGAGAGAGAGAGAGAGAGACAGAGAGAGTGTGAGTGTGAGTGTGAGTGTGTGTGTGTGTGTGTGTGTAGAGGGGTGAATCCAGGCCCAAGGGCCTGAAGTCTTTGCAAAAAAAAAAAAAATCAGAAGAAATCCTCCTGCTTTAAACCCATTTATTTTCAACCCACTCCAAAAGATGCGGGTTAAAAACGAAATAAATGAATGGAAAAAGACAAGCGGCCGCGCTGGATCCGACGCAGGGCGCCGGGGCAGGGGTGCGGCCGGGCCTCGGGCGGGCCTGCGCGTCGAGTCCAAGCGGGCCCGGCGGTTCCGACGGAGGGCAAGGCCCGGGGACCCTTCTGGAAAGGGGCCCGGAGACCCTTCTGGAAGGCGAAATTCGGGGAAACCGGCTCGGGCAGCTCGCGGATGCGCCGCGGAGGCCGAACGGGCATCGCGCTGCAAACCTTTGCCCCCGAGGGGGTCGCGGACCTGGGAAATGGCACCAGGCGAGGATGTTTGTAATTAAAAATTTTTTTTTAAATAATAAAAAAGCGAGGCGGGGTCGCCGCCCCGAGGCCCGGCCCGCCCTCGCCCTCCCGCAGCGTCTTTTCTTTCTTTTTATTTTTTAACCAAACGCGGCCTCGCGCTGGGCTGCGTCTCGGGGGGTCGCGGGGCGCCCCGGTACTCACAGAGGCCGGCGAGGGGTCCACGGCCCGGCTGGGGGGGGTCCGCGGGGTCCTGCGGCGGCGGCGGCGGCCGATCGCGGCGTCGCCCCGAGCCCGCCCACGTGACCGCCCCGCGGAGGGCGGGCGGCGCGCGGGGCATGCCGGGACAGGCCGCGCCAGGCCCCGCCCCTCCGGGCCTGCGCCACGCCCCTCCGCGCCTGCGCCGCGGGGAGGGCGCGGCGAGCATGCGCAGTGGGGCCTCAAAGCCCCGCCCGGCGGCCGGGCCCGGCGGGGACCTGCTTTGATGGACAGACGTCCCGCCTCCCGCTGCCTCTGGGACGTGCAAGTCCCGGAGAGCCCGGGAGGGGGCGTCCCCGGCGAGCAAGGGGACCAGGCTGCGGTCCTGGGCCAAGAGGAGGGGAAAATTAGCTTTTGTAGATTATTTTTTTGGGGGGTCACACCCGGCGATGCTCAGGGCTGAGTCCTGGCTCTGCACTCAGGGATCACTCCTGGCGGTGCTCAGGGGACCCTATGGGATGCTGGGAATCGAACCCGGGTCGGCCGCGTGCAAGGCCAACGCCCTAACCGCTGTGCTACCGCACCAGCCCCCCATCATGAAAAATTTTAAGTCAAAAAAATCCTAAATCATATCCAGACAACACGGGAAACACCTGTTTCTTTTCTTTTTTTTTCTTTTTTGCTTTTAGGGCCATACCCAGCGATGCAAAGGGGTTACTCCTGGCTCATGCATTAAGGAATTACTCCTGGCAGTGCTCAGGGGACCCTATGGGATGCTAGGAATCGAACCCGGGTCGGCATTGTGCAAGGCAAACGCCCTACCCGCTGTGCTATCGCTCCAGCCACAGGAAACACCTGTTTCTATAAAGTCCCTCCCTCTCCTCCCCCTTTCCCCCCTCCACCCAGTATACAAATTATTTGTTTTCTTTTGGGGCCACGTCATAGTGCTGAGGTCTTTTTCTTGGTTCTGCCCTCAGGGATCACTCCTGGGGGTCCTTGGGGACCATCTGGGCTATGGGGGATTGAACCCAGGTGGGTCGTGTGCTGGGGAAGGTCACTTCAGTCCCTATTTAGACTTTTAGCTAGCTCCCAAAAAGCGTGTAAAGCCAAAAAAGGGGCAAGAAGGGTTTTCCTTTTCTTTTTTTTTTCCTATCCATTCATCCACTGCTGTATTTTCAGCGCCTAGCATGGGATGACGGGTACACAGAAGCTCAAGTATTTTTTGCAGTTCCCGTCACGTAAGCAGTGACCATGAATAGAACCTTCACCTCTGTTATCTGCCCTCTTTTGCCAGAAGGATTTGAGGACACTGTTAGGCGCTCTTTGATAACAGACCGATTTCCAGCACGTGTTATATTCCATGAGAAGACTATATATACTCAATTCACTTATTAAACATATTCTCGCCCGCGCAGCAAAGCCTGGCAAGCTACCCGTGACGTATTCAATATGCCAAACACAGTAACAGCAAGTCTCACAATTTGTTGTGAGATGTTACTGGTGCCCGCTAGAGCAAATTGAAGAACAATGGGAGGACAGTGCTACAGTGCTATATTCTGTGCCAAAATAAATGTTTAATTAAAAAAATTAGTAGGGGCCTGGAGCGATAGCACAGCGAGTAGGGCGTTTGCCTTGCACGCGGCCAATCCGGGTTCGATTCCCTGCATCCCATAGGGTCCCCTGAGTACCGCCAGGAGTAGTTCCTGAGTGCATGAGACAGGAGGAACCCCTGTGCATCGCCGGGTGTGACCCAAAAAGCAAAAATAAATAAATAAAAATGGTGTATTCTGTTGCTATCGTTTTAACATTTTTGTTTTGGGCTACAGCCAACGGTGCTCAGGAATCATTCCTGGTGGGCTTGGGGGGTCATATGTGGTGCTGAGGATTACAACTGATCAGCCGCCTGTCCAGCAAGCACCCTGCCCACTGTTCTATCACTTCAGCCCCTAACCCTTGTTTTGAGTCACTGATTTGCTTCAGACATCTCAAACTTCCACAGTAACATCTAAGGCCCTCATGCCTCTGCTGGGCTCAGGAGCCTGGCGATTCGCTTTCACCATTGTTTAGTCCCTACAAGGTGGTTGGAAACCGCAGAGAGCGGAGTAGCTGGTCTGACAGGTGTTTTGTATTTCGCCGCCGTTTGAGTTTGGTATTTGTGAGGTTGCTAGGTGTGGGAGCCGCTGAGAAATTAGGATTATGCATTATTACCTGCTCAAGGGGCGGGAGAAATCCTCCCATGGTCCAAATTGTTACCATACCTCTCCTATTTGAGGATCCTCAGGACCTATTTGAAAAGGCCATTCTGAGCCTTGCAGGCATTTTATTTTTTATTTGGAGGGGACACCTGGATTGAAGTTTTCTTCTTTTATTAAAGCGACACACTTATTTAATAATTAAAAACCATCTCATCTTCTCTGATCTTTAATGTCTATTGACCTTTTTTTATATTCCAATAATGTTATATAACCTCTTGTCCTTTTTTTTACAAGTGTGTATTCAAGTTTACCACCTATGCGGCCTGTGTTTTAAAGAGGCTCTTAAAATACACGTGAATTTAGGAGTAATATAAACGTTGTATATTAATGACTATTAGCTTCTTTAGTAATTGTTCTGTGTTATAGAAAGTAGAAAGTTTTATAAAACGGAAGTTAGGAATGAACACTTTTCAAAACTTTATCTGCTAAGTCCTCTGTTTCCAAATCATATTATTAAAAGGACCCCCAGGAAGTCCAGCAAGTAAGGTGTTAACCTTGCATTCATGCAGCCCACCGACTTCCACCCCAAATATCCTATAGGGTCTCTTGAGACCCGCTGACCCGCTGGGCTTGACCCTTACTCTTGATTAGGACCCGGGAGTTAGGGGCTGGAGCGATAGCACATTGGCGAGGGCATTTGCCTTGCATGCAGCTGACCCGGGTTCGATTCCAAGCATCCCATATGATCCCCTGAGCACCGCCAGGAGTGATTCCTGAGTGCAGAACCAGGAGTAAGCCCTGTGCATCGCCAGGTGTGACCCAAAAAAAGGCAAGAAAAAAAAAAGGACCTGGGAGTTAGCCCTGAGTATAGCCAGAAGCGGCCCCAAAATCTATTTTAAATTTTTATTATTTTGGTTTTGGGGCCACACCCGGCAATGCTCAGGGCTGACTCCTGGCTCTACACTCAGGAATTATTCCTGGCGGTGCTCTGGGGACCCAATGGGATGCTGTGGACTGAACCCGGGTCTGCTGAGAGCCAGGCAAATGCCTCACCCGCTCTACTGCTGCTCCAAACCCCTAATTTTATAGGATCCCCAGTTAAAAATAACAGTTCTGCCTTTATTATTATTTATGATATATTTTGATTCTGTTGAGATGGAAGCGGTCATAGAAGCCCTAGCCAATCAGGGCGTACAAACTCAATAAATACATCAGGATCCTTCGTGAGCTCTATTGCGGATTCACTACCAAGATCTCACCATTCTACAAAGAAGTAATCATCCATATCAAGAGAGGGGTTCGGCAGGGTGATACCATTTCACCAAAACTCTTCAGTGCCACCCTCGAGAACATCATGCGACGACTGGAATGGGAAAACATGGGAGTGAAGATAGATGGTCGGCAACTACACCACCTCCGCTTTGCTGATGACATCGTTCTAATAACACCAAACATCAACCAAGCGGCACAAATGCTGAACGACTTTGACCGTGAATGTGGAAAGGTCGGACTACAGCTGAATCTTGCGAAGACAATGTTTATGAGAAACAGCCTTGTTCCTGACGCTCCATTCGCTCTCAACGGAACCACCATCTCCGAATGCAACAGTTATATATACCTAGGTCGAGAAATCAACATGATGAATGACCTGGTACCTGAGTTGCGCAGGAAGAAGAGAGCGACTTGGAATGCCTTCAAGAGCATTGAAGAAATAACTAAAAGGACAAAGAACCTCCAGCTACGAGCACATCTCTTTGATTCCACTATTCTTCCTGCATTAACATATGCCTCAGAGACCTGGACCCTACGAAAACAGGATGAGAACACTATTCGGATCTCTCAAAGAGGAATCGAAAGAACTATGCTTGGAATATCACGATTCACTCAAATGAGAGATAGAATCCGGAGTTCTGATCTTCGTCAATGCTCAAGAATCAGGGACGCTGTCTCATTTGCCAAGACATCAAAAATCAGATGGGCTGGACACGTAATGAGGTTTACAGACAACCGCTGGACTAGAGCCATTACTGATTGGATTCCACGAGACATCAAAAGATCACGTGGACGCCCACCTATAAGATGGTCAGACTTCTTCGTCAAGACCCTAAATGATCGGTTTGAGGCTCTACATGTTCCTAAAACGAACAGATACCATTGGGCTACGCTAGCACGCAACCGGGATGAATGGAGACGTTACTGGCACCCGCTCGAATAAATCGATGAATAACGGGGATTAAGTGATTAAGTGATTGATATATTTTATATATATTTTTTTGCTTTTTGGGTCACACCCGGCAATGCACAGGGGTTCCTCCTGGCTCTGCGCTCAGGAATTACCCCTGGCGGTGCTCAGGGGACCATATGGGATCCTGGGAATCGAACCCGGGTTGGCTGCGTGCAAGGCAAACGCCCTACCCGCTGTGCTATTGCTCCAGCCCCTAGATTATTATATTTTATACTATTATTTTTTTGGCTTTTGGGGCCACACCCGGCGATGCACAGGGGTTCCTCCTGGCTCATCCGTTCAGGAATTACTCCTGGCGGTGCTCAGGGGCCCATATGGAATGCTGGGGGAATCGAACCGGGTCGGCCGCGTGCCAGGCCAACGCCCTCTCCGCTGTGCTATCGCCCCAGCCCCAATATATTTTATATTATTATTATAAATAATATATCTCGGCGAGGAGTGCATGCTGGGGAGGGGGGGTCGGACCCAGGGCCAGCGCGCAGCCTCCTCCAAGGATCCACCTGCATTCCTCCGGGCGGTGGGGGGGGGCGGGGGGAACTGCAACGCGAGAGGAGCTCGCTCCGCGCTCCCTGGCAGGTGCACAGCCGGGCAGCGGGCCCAGCAGGGGCGTGAGCGGCTCGGACCTTGCACGGGGGCGCGGCGTCGCCGGACCGCGCCGTCCTCCGCCCCCGGCGGCCGCGGGCCAGGAGGCGGGAGTGGCCGCGACAGCTGACCCGGCGCTGGCCCGGCCGCGCCCACAGCCCGCGGGACGCAGCGCGGGCCCAGATGCGCGCGGGCAGCGCGGCCGCGAGGACGCGGGCGGAGGCCTCCGGGGCTGCCGGCCGCCGCGCCGACCGCCGCGCGCCGCGCCCGACGCCCGCCAGCAGCGCAGCGAGCCCCGCGGGACGCGCCCGGGACCCCCAGCGCCGGCGACCCAAGTGCGTCAGCAGCGATGGCGGGCGAGGGGCGGTGGGCGGGGCCGGGGCCGGAAGCCCGGGGGGAGGTCCGCGTCGCCACGCCCCGACCTCCTCTGCGCCGCGCCGCCGCGCAGCCGGGCGCCGGCAGTGACGCACTTCCGGCCGCGCCGGCCTCCCCGGCGCCCCGCCCCGCCCGGCGGGAAGTGAGGTTCTCGGACGCGCCGCCGGAAGTGTACGGCGACGACGACGAGCCGCCGGGGGGCGGCGGGGATTGGCTTCCGGGCGGAACGCGAAGCCCGCGAGAAGAGTTCCGGGCCGAGGCCGCGCCGGAGCCAGTGCCCGAGAGCACCTATTACCTGCGCTCGCTGCGGAGCCCGCCGCGACCCCCGGAGCCCGCCGAGATGACGACGCGCCGGGTCACCCGCCGGCAGCAGCAGCAGCCGCTGACCTCGGCCCCGGCTCGCAGGGGGCTCCGGGACTCCCGCTTCTCCGACGGTGAGCGAGGCCGAGCGAGGGTCCCCGGGAAGGCGCCCCCCCCGCCCCCGCTTGGGGCCGAGCCTGGGGGGCTGCGGGCTCGGACCCCTCTGGCTTCCCCCCCATCGCCCAGCGCTTGCAGGGCACCCCCAGGGTCACGCGTGCTCGCGATCCCGCCTCCCCCCCCCCCAGCGTGGGCGGTGCGCGCCCAGTTTGCGAATGAATGAACTTGAAACCCCGCCCCCGCAATCGGGACCCCCCACCCCCCTCAAGAGGGCTAGACCCCCGCACCCCGCCTCCCGCATCCTCCCACGTGTCTGATAAAATCCCTCCACGGTCCTCTTTCTGGTCTGCGATGGCCTCAGGCAGCCACCGGGCGCCCCCTCCCCCCCAGCGCCCCCCACTGTGACATCGGGGTGGTCAGCGACCCCCACCCCCCACAGCAGGACAAGCGGGTCGTCGCTGGGGGGCTCTTGGTGGGGGTCGGCCTGGAGAGCAGGGTGAGGGGATGCCCCAGAGGGTGGGCCACGGAGCTGGGGGTCTTGCAGGCTGGGGCTGGGTGACACGTGGGACATTGTGTCAGTGGCTGAAACTGTTACTCATGTCGCTGTCCCATCTTTTATCTCATGAGAGGGTTAAACTACCGACGATCAGACATCCCAGGCTGCGCCTTTGAAGGACCCTAGTCCACCTTGGGGGGGCTGCAAGTGGCCTTGCCCTGGATAGGCGACAGATTTGTCACACCGATTTATTACACCTCATCTTCTCCATCCAGTACATTTGCATCAACTCAATGTTTCTGGTTGGATTCACTGCCACACCCATCAGCGTTCAGCCCTTACTCTTGTTTTTTATTTTATTTTTTTGCTTTTTGGGTCACACCCGGCAGAGCTCAGGGGTTACTCCTGGCTCTGCACTCAGGAATCACTCCTGGCAGTGCTCAAGGGGACCCTATGGGATGCTGGGGGTCGAACCCGGGTTGGCTGTGTGCCAGGCAAACGCCCTCCCCACTGTGCTATCGCTCCAGCCCCTCACCCCTGACTCTTGGATCTGCACTTAGGGGTCACTCCTAGTGGTCCCAGGGCACCCTATGGGGTACCAGGAATTAGAACCCTTATCTTCCACATGCAAGGAAAATGCCCTCCCCAGTAGACTATCCTCAGCTATAATAATTTTTTTTTCCTTTTGGGTCACACCCGGTGATGCTCAGGGATTCCTCCTGGCTTTGTACTCAGGAGTCATTCCTGGCAGTGCTTGGGGGACCCTATGGGATGCTGTGGATTAAACCCAGTTTGGCCACGTACAAGGCAAATGCCCTACCCGCTGTACTTTCGCTCCAGCCCCACAGCTAGAATTTTTAAGGAACAGGAAGGGGTTGCCTCTATTTTAGTGAACCTCTAAGGGGCTAACCGTGATTCACGCTGAGAGCTGCTTTCTTCCACATCGTCACCTTTTTTTTTCTCTTTGAGTCACACCTGGCAATGCACAGGGGTTACTCCTCACTCATGCACTCAGGAATTACACCTGGCAGTGCTCAGTGGAACATTGTGGGATGCTAGGAATTGAACCCGGGTCGGCCGCGTGCAAGGCAAATGCCCTCCCCGTTGTGCTATCGCTTCAGCCTCACACATCATCTCTTAAGAAGTGTCAATGTTGAGTAATAGATTTGCTCTTGAGGGTTCTAGCAGTGAAAGTCCTAAATTTCTTCCTAAATTTGCGTCTGAGGAAGTGAACTGTGATTCTGCTTATATACTGCTGTGAAAGTTTCTATTCTCTGCCTTCCCAATATGTTCTGAATTTGCACAATTTTTGTCATTCTTTAGAGGACGAGCCATCTCCACAACGTGCGTTAAGCCCAAGAGGCACAAGGAAAAGTATGAGGTCGCCCAAGGAGGTTCCGGGTAAGATCCATGAGTTTCTTCTGTTCATTTGCTGCCATTCTATATGTGCTTTTTGGGTTTTTGGTTTTTAAATATTGGGCCGCACCTATGATTCTAAGGGCTGACTCCTGGCTCTGTGCTCAGGAATTACTCCTGGCGCTGCTTGGGGAACCCGGTGCAATGTTGGGAATTAAACCTGGGTTGGCCACATGCAAGGCAAGCACCATCCCTGCTGTGCTATTATTCCAGCTCCTATATATACATACATGTATATAATATATGTATTTTTATGTGTTCACTGTGATAGTCTGATTCCTCAAAGCCCCACATCATACCCACATCACAGTTCCTGCATCTCATCCCAGTGGATGATCTTTGTCATTTACTTCTGGAATGCAGTGATCGCATCTAGGCCCGGGTTAAGGGAAGTGGGGCAGGGAGGACAGAGGGACAGGTCCCCGGGTAGCAGCCAGCGCGATGGCATAGTTCATACAACTGCAGGACAGAGATCCCACCCATCTTGGAGATGAGGAAACTGTGATTCTCAGTAGCTGTGGCACTTCCCAGGGAACACAGGAGACAGGTGACTGAGCTAAGCATCAGATGCAGGGTGGTCTTCTCCAAAACCCTTTCGTTTCCCCCCAGGACTGCACTGTTCTTGCCTCAGACTAGCCTGTCTGCGAAATCTGGAGAGGCAGAGGCCAGTGTCCTTCTGTCTTGAGGTTTCAGTGGGTATCACAGACCGCAAGGTCCAGCCGCGCTGTAATCTAGCCAGTGCCATCAAGTTTGTGATCAGACAGGTGGCTGACCCGTGGATGGATGGCTAGTGACAACCGATCTACTATACACATGGCTGGCGGAAGATGCCCAAAGGCTACCGAACAGTCGTGACAACGCCCTCTCCTATGCAGTGCCCTGGGTGAAGGAAACTTATCTGCATGTCCATGTCATTTTCTGGGTGCTGACACATTTACAGTGAGGCAGGGCGAATCACATACATCGAGGCCCAAGGTCCGAGACGGCTGGTGACACAACCAAAATCCAATGGTTTGTGCCTGCTCTCGTCGGTGAGCAGACAGGCTGAATACGAACCCCCCCCCCCCCCCCATGCTCCAGATCGTCTACCATAGAGCAGTTCTAGAATGTTCTATAGAAGCATTTTCTCAACTGGGGCCATATGGTCCTCTGTGCATCTCTGGGAGAGTTGAAGGGGGTTAATCTGAAGTTTTTACGTTGGTAGGGGGCACAGGAGGGAAACAGGGCTAGATGGGGTTCAAGGCTGGGAAAATGTTGAAAAATTAAGAAACAGCGGCCTGTAGGGTGGTGCACTTCTTACATCATTTTACTCAAACTCTGTGATTTTTTTTTGTTTTGTTTTGTTTTTGGGTCATACCCAGCGATGCTCAGGAATTACTCCTGGCAGTGCTTGGGGTACCCTATGGGATGCTGGGGATCGAACCTGGGCCAGCCGTGTGCAAGGCAAAACACCCTCCCTGCTGGACTGTTGCTCCAGCCCCTCCATGATTGTCATAAATCGCCTCTTCCACATTTACAATGCGGTAACTCTCTGCGTCTCCAGGTTAAATATACTGTGAACAAAACTTGGCAGCCAGGACTTTCCCGAACAGTCTGGACAATTCGATTTTAGTATCTGCTACTCAGAGAAGCATTCGATTGGTTTGTCGTTGGCCGTGCCAGGGATCAAACTTGGGGCCTCACCAGATGAGTCGTTATCCTGCTACTGGACATCTCTGGCTGGCTTCTGGGTATTGAGCGGCCTTTCAACTGTGGCCCATTTCCCTGGTACAAGGATGCAACTCTTTTAGCTTTGAAACGGGGACCCAAAACCATCTCAAAGGGAGATACTCTTTCTGTTTGTTTTGGGGCCTTATCCATCAATGCTCAGGGCTTCCTCCTGGCTCTAACACTCAGGGATCACTCTGGCGGTGCTCGGAGGACCCTATGGGATGCTGGGGATCGAACCCAGGTCGGCTGCGTGCCTAGGAAAACGCCCTCCCGGCTGTGCTATATCCGGCCCCAGGATATGCTGTTTATAGGGCCGCATTTTTGCCTTTTGGATGGGACTAGGAAAACTCAGCTAGTATTTCCTAGGACTGGCATCTTAGGTTCGACACCTGCCCACAGATCAGTGTGGGTCCGTGGGTGTAGAAAACTTAAAGACAGCTGGTCTCCGACTGTGGTTCTAACTGCCTGTTCCTGCTATGTACAGCAGTGGGACACTTGCCTTGCAATGTCCAGCCTGGGTTTGGTCCCCAGCATCCCATAGGGTCTCCAGAGCCTTATCAGGGGTGATTCCTGGTCAGTCTGTTTTTGTTTTTGTTTTGTTTTTTTTTTGGGGGGGGGGTCACACCCAGTAAAGCTCAGTGCTGACTCCTGGCTCTATACTCAGGAATTACTCCTGGCAGTGCTCGGGGGACTCTGTGGGATGACAGGGATTGAACCTGGGTCGGCTACGTGCAAGGCAAACGCCCTCTCCACTATACTTCTTTTTTTTTTTTCTCTTTTTGCTTTTTGGGTCCCACCTGGCGATGCTCAGGGGTTCCTCCTGGCTTTGCACTCAGGAATCACTCCTGGCAGTGATCAGGGAACCATATGGGATGTGGGAATCGAACTCGGGTCGTCCGCGTACAAGGCAAATGCCCTACCCGCTGTGCTATCACTCCAGCCCCTCTCCACTATACTATTGCTCTTGCCCATAAACACAGTCTGAAGTAAGCCCTGAGCACAGCCAGGCGTGACCCCAAACCAGGTATCTCTAGAGAATATATAACAAAGCTTCTAACATGAAAAGATGGGGCCTGGGATAGTCTGAGATTAAGTGAGAGGTTTTCATTTACCCTGTAAAGGGACAGAGCATAGAAAAAATTTTTTTTTCCTTAAGGAAGGTGAGTAAGAATGGGAGTAGTGATGAGTAATCGGGTGCCTTCATTAGTCAACCTAGGGGTTGATTTAAGACTTCAGTTGGGGCCTGGAGCGATAGCACAACTGGTAGGGCGTTTGCCTTGCCTGTGGCCCACCCGGGTTCAATTCCCAGCATCCCATATGGTCCGCTGAGCACCGCCAGGGATAATTCCTGAGTGCAGAGCCAGGAGTGACCCCTGTGCATCCCCGGGTGTGACCCAAAAAGCAAAAAAAACAAAACACTACAGTTGGGAGTTCTCAATAACCAATGCTAAACTCAAGCACCAACTCCAATTCTTTTCATTGTTGTCTTTTTTGTTTCAGGGCCATACTAGGACTGACTCCTGGCACTGCATTCAATAATCACTCCTTCCAGTGCTCAGGGGACCCTATGGGGTGCCAGGAATCGAACCCGGGTTGGCCGCATGCAAGGCAAATGCCCTCCCCACTGTACTATCGCTCCAGCCCAATGGACTTTAATTCTCTCTCAGACTCCTTGGGCTGACAGACCCAGGTAGAATTGCTGCCCTCGTTCCAGTTGTGCGGGCGACCTTCTGTTCAGGCCTTTTGGGTCTCTGTGTGACTCCAGGGGTTTGTAAACTATCCCCTCACTCATGCCCATCCGAACTGAGCACTGCCAGTTTGAGTCTTCCGACGTGTGAGGTTAAAACTTTTTTGTCTTGATCTGCATAGTAAATGAACCCGTTTGACGTCGTATCCTTTCAATTTAATTGATTGTGTTAACTGTGTGTGTGTGTGTGTGTGTTTTGTGTATTTTTTAAGACTCTTTTTTCTTTCTATATAGTTTTGATTGACGATCCCATCTCTGAGCTCCGAAGACCCCCGCTAAGGAGTCCGAGACTTGGTAAGAGGTTGTTTCTGTCTATTGGTTGGACATTGCAGGAAAGAGTCTTAGTGGTAATCCACGTGCTCACATGGTCCCAGGGTCGCAGGATACGCCCACAGGGACAGTCCCCGCACGTCCCTGCCTTTGCCCCGTCACACACTCCCCATCCTTTCTCGGGTCTTCTTTCCCAGAGAGAGTCATAATGCTAGAAAGGAATTCATGGCGGGGCTGGAGCGATAGCACAGCGGGGAGGGCGTTTGCCTGGCACGCGGCCGACCTGGGTTTGATTCCCAGCATCCCATAGGGTCCCCTGAGCATAGAGCTAGGAGTCAGCCCTGAGAATCGCCAGGTGGGACCCAAAAAGCAATCAATCAATCAATCAATAAAGAGTGATGAACCAGGGACTTGGGCAATATCACAGCAGATAGAGCATTGGCCTTGCATGCAGCCGACCTGGGTTCGATTCCCGGCATCCCCTAGGGTCCCCTGAGCACCGCCAGGAGTGATTCCTGAGTGCAGAGCTGGGAGTCAGCCCTGAGCATCGCCAGGTGAGACCTAAAAAGAAAAAGAAAAAAAAAAAAGAAATTCATGAGGGCTGAGAGATGGTGCGGCAGACAGGCCGTTGTCCTGTCTCCGGGTTCTGTCTCTGTCAGTCCACTCGTCCCCTGGTCCCTGCCAAGAGTGAGCCCTGGGCACATCTGGCTCCCAGACAACACAAAAATCCAAATTCATGGTCCTTTTCTCCGTTTCTAACACAAAATTGGAGCTGATACTCTTTTTGACCTGGTTTATATTTACTTGGCCTGTGTGCCTTCCTGCAGAAAGGACTTTGTCCCTTTTCTGCTCTTTTTAAAATTCTTTAAATTCTTTTTGGCTTTTTGGGTCATACTCGGCGATGCTCAGGGCTGACTCCTGGCTCTACACTCAGGAATTGCTCCTGGCAGTGCTCGGGGAACCATATGGGATGCTGGGGACCAAACCTGGATCGGCCTCGTGCAAGGCAAACGCCCTCCCCGCTGTGCTGTCGCTCCAGCCGCTAAAGTTCTTTTTTTTTTTTTTTTTTTTGGTCAGGGCACATTTTTTAATTCTTCAGCAGTATTATATTAATTAAATATTCACAACTGATGTTTGTTAGCTCAGAGGCATAATAATATTTCCCTTCAATTCCTTTTTTTTCCCTTTTTTTTGGGTACTCCTGCCTTAAGGATTAACACTGATATGGTCACAAAATGATACCAGAGTTGTTCTGTGCTCTGACTCTGACTTAATTCTGGGTCCGAGGTCCCACCAGGAAGCTTTAACCTGGCAGCCGAAGAGGCAGCTGACTGGTCTTCCCGTTAGGTTTTCGTTCCTCATTCTCTTTCAGAAAGAGTCACGTGGGGGCCAGAGAGGTGGTTCAGTGGTCTGAGTCCAGCTTGCTCGCAGAAAGGACCAGGGTCGATTCCAACACTGTGTGGTTCCTTGAGCCCCCCCCAGGAGCGACCACCCTGGGCACTGCTTGGTCAGCCTCTAGCTTCAAAATGAAAAAGAAGGGGCTGGAGCGATAGCACAGCGGGAAGGGCATTTGCCTTGCACACGGCTGACCCAGGTTCGATTCCCAGCATCCCACATGGTCCCCCGAGCACCGCCAGGAGTAATTCCTGAGTGCATGAGTCAGGAGTAATCCCTGTGCATCGCTGGGTGTGACCCAAAGAGAAAAAAAAATGACAAAGAAAAGAGTCATATTCAAATGTGTGGGCCCAGCCTGGGACATACCTCAGTAGGACTTTCTCAGCAGAGGTGATGCCCTGGGTTCAGGCCGCAACTGTGCAAAAAACTCAGATTAGACACCCGCCCTCCCCCACTCCCCTGAATCTTTTTTTACTTTTGTAATTTCTTTTATTAAATTTTTTTTTCTTTTTGGGTCACACCCAGTGGTGCACAGGGGTTCCTCCTGGCTCTGCACTCAGGAATTACCCCTGGCAGTGCTCAGGGGACCCTATGGGATGCTGGGAATCGAACCCGGGTCGGCCGCATGCAAGGCAAACGCCCTACCTGCTGTGCTCTCTCTTCAGCCCCTAAATTAAAATTTTTTTTATTATTATTATTTTTTTTTATTTCCGTGAGATACAGTTATAAAGCTCTCCTGTTTGAGTTCCTGTCATACAATGATCAATCACCCAACCTCCGCCCCTGCACATCTTCCACCACCAGGGTCCCCAATTCACCCCTCCCCCCTGCCTCTATGGCAGACAATGCCCCCCATACCCTCTTTTGTGTTGCTTGTTATGAATAGCGTAAAATGATCTCTGGCAGCGCTCTCCTGGAATTCTAAAATTTTAGATGGTCAGGGTCTGGAGAAATGGTTTGGAGATTCTTTTGTGTCTCTGGATCATGGCTATTAAGGAGTTTAAGTAGGGCGAGACCTCCAGGGTCCCTTGGAATGAGGAGATGAGAAGGACCGACCCGTTCCCTATCCCTTGGGGCCTGGAGTTTGCTGTCACTGAACCGCATAACTCCCCTGACTCTTGACCAACTCTTGGTTCTAGGCCCTTTCAAGCAGCCCTAGGATAAAGATCTGGTTCTGGGCTTGACGTGGCCTCGGGGCCGAGAACCAGGCGATGCATTTCCTTGTTCTGGCTAATCTCCTTCCTGTCTCTCTTTACAGGTTCGCCTTTCAAACCAAACGGAAATTCTAACCCCAGTGAACTAGGTTTGTGGATTATTTGTGGATTATTTCTTCTTCCTGCTTTCCTTCGAGAATGCCACTTCTTGCTGGCATCCCAAGCTCACCTCTGGTCTCTGGCCGAAGGAAATGTGACAGTTTCATGATTTCTTTTTTTTCTGGGTCACACCCGGCGAGGCGGTGCTCAGGGGACCTTATGGGATGCTGGGAATCGAACCTGGGTCGGCTGCGTGCCAGGCAAATGCCTTACCCGCTGTGCTATCTCTCCAGCCCCAACAGTTTCATGATTTCAAGCTGCCAGGACACAGGTCACTGCGGCCAGGGACTGTCCCGAGCGAGCGCCGGGGTTTCTGCCGTCTAAAAAATCAGGCCCTTCCCTGTCTTACCGTTTCCGTTCACGGCAGCGGGCCTGTTGCACATTGTTTTGATTGATTTGGATTTGGAGTGTGACTCTGTTAAACAGAGTCACGCCAGAGAGAAAAAGGAGACGCCAAATTAGCTCTGAAGGTTTCCCTTCGCTTAGAAAGTGAGTTTGAGGGAATGTGCCATCGTACAGCGGGGCGGGCGTTGGCCTTGCATGTGGCCGACCCGGGTTCGATTCCCGGCATCCCATAGAGTCCCCTGAGAACCGCCAGAAGTGATTTCTGAGTGCAAAGCCAGGAATAACCCCTGTGCATCGCTGGGTATGACCCCCCTCCCAAAAAAAAAAATTGAAAATGAGTTTGAGGGAATAGTACAGCGGGTAGGGTGTTAGCCTTGTACTTGGCCGATCCGGGTTCGATTCCCAGCATCCCATAGGATCCCCCCAGCACTGCCAGGAGTAATATTCCTGAGTGCCGCCCCAGGAGTGACCCTGGAGCATTGCCGGGTGTGACCCAAAAAGCCAAAAGTGAATTTGCGATGTTTGTCACCATTTGCCCTTCGCTCTGGGTCTCAGACTGGTCTGAATTCTTCTTCGTGTTTCACCGTGTGGAGGGCACAGGTGTGGTAAGGTCTGTGGCTGGCTGTGAGCCAGCGGCTGTGGTGAGACCTAGTTTGGGGCCAGGGTCCTTTTCTAAATTTGGAGATGAGTCGAAAGAGGGAAGCTTCTCTTGTCAGTCTACACAGCTGCCACTTCGCCTGCGACAGGCTTCTATCCCTTCCTCAGGCTTCTGGCTCTAGACTTGGGATTCCAAACATCTGAGCTCTGAACTGAACCTTGCAATTCGCGGCTTACCCCACCATTGACCTTGTTGAGAAACTTCATGGGATCGAACCCGGGTTAGCCATGTGCAAGGCAAACGCCCTCCCTGCTGTACTATCGCTCCAGCCCCTGCCTGTCACTGTTTTTTGTTTGTTTGTTTGTTTTTTGCTTTTTGGGTCACACCTGGCGATGCACAGAGGTTGCTCCTGGCTCTTCACTCAGGAATTACTCCTGGTGGTGCTCGGGGGACCCTATGGGATGCTGGGAATTGAACATTGAACCCAGGTCAGCCACATGCAAGGCGGACGCCCTCCCCGTTGTGCTATCGCTCCAGCCCTGTTTTTATTTTGTTTTAATTCACGGTCTTGGTCCTCCCGTTGTTCATCGATTTGCTCGAGCGGACCCAGTAACGTCTCCATTGTGACACTTGTTACTGTGTTTTAATTAAAAATTATTAATCATGAAAAAAATCTGCACAATCACCAGAATCTGCAGAATCTTTTTTTTTTTTTTGCTTTTTGGGTCACACCCAGCGGCAATGCACAGGGGTTCCTCCTGGCTCTGCGCTCAGGAATTACCCCTGGCGGTGCTCAGGGGACCATATGGGATGCTGGGAATCGAACCCGGGTCGGCCGCGTGCAAGGCCAACGCCCTCCCCGCTGTGCTATCACTCCAGCCCTCTGCAGAATCTTTTTACTCCTTCTGTTCTTCAGTCTCCAGCTCACTTTTTTGCCAGCGCCAACGTTGGCCTTGGCGGCCCCCCTGACTTCCTTCATTCTGTTCTTCCGTTCTTTTCTCTGTTGGCGTGAGGTCTTTTTCTTCTCATACAGGCCAGGTCTTGCCAGTCTGTGTTTGGGCTCATTTTTCTTCGCATGATCCAAAAGAATCGTAAATCATGCCAAAGCCCGTTGTCTTGCCGCCACCGAAATGGGTTCTGAAGCCAGACACGAAAATGACATCTGGAGTGGTCTTGCACATTTTTGGCAAGTTTCTCTCGGATTTCTGTCTTGGGTACCGTGGCCTTCGCAGGGTGAAGGACATCGATGACCATCTGCTTGCGCTGGAGCAGTTGGTTGGTCGTGAACTTCCTGGTGCGGATGGTGACTGTGTCGTTCGTGATGGCGGCACGGCTGCAGGAGGCCAGGGAGGAAGCTGCCTGTCACTCTTTTTTTTTTTTTTTGGTGTCACAGCCGGCGATGCTCAGGGGTTCCTCCTGGCTCTGCACTCAGGAGTCACTCCGGGCGGTGCTCGGGGGACCCTAGGGGATGCTGGGAATCGAACCTGAGTCGGCCGCGTGCAAGGCAAACGCCCTCCCCACTGTGCTATTGCTCCAGCCCTGCGTGTCACTCTTGAGCCTAGCATTATTCTAATCTGGTTCCATTGTGGCAATAGCGGCCGTTTTTCAACGGTGTCGTTCATACCTTTTGAAAGAGTTTTGCTCTCTTGCTCGCTCGCTCTCTCTCGGATACACACACACACACACACACACACACACACACACGTCACACACACACACACGTTTGGAAGACAAATTCAAACCAATAAAGGCAAAGGGCGGAATGCATCTCATTCCCATGGCTTCCCCTTTTCTGTTTACTCAGCACTATTTGGGCCTCTTGTGCAATGTTGGAATGGGCCTTCCTTTATTTTTTTAAAAAAAAAAAGGAAATTCAGAAAAGCTACTGTCCTCCACACCAAGACTCAGGCCCCTCACCCCAGTTTCCTGCCTCGAGAAGCCACGGGTGTGTGACCCTGCTGGAATGAGGAAACTTTCTTTTTCTCTGTTTTTTCTTTTCCTTTTTTTTTGCGGGTGCGTTTCATTTTTGCATCACTTCCGGCAACGCCCAGGGAGAACTTATAACTGGGTGCCGGGGGACCGTTTGGTGCCGGGACCGAATCCGGGGTTCCCACATGCACGTACCACGTGCCCGCCAGTGGTGCCGCCTCTCACAGGCACAAGCAGGCAGGCGACTTCCTTCTGGGCTGCAGCAATGCGTTTGAGAACCGTCTTGCCAGCTGGGCGTGGTAGGACTTTCGGGCGGAGTGGAGGGGCGCCTGGCAAGTTGGGGTGGGGTGAGACCAGAGTAAACCCTGCAGGATGGGGGCGTCCTGATTTTCAGTTTTGTTTTGTTTTGCTTTTTGGACCACACCCGGTGACACTCAGGGCTGACTCCTGCCTCATGCACTCAGGGATCACTCCTGGCGGTGCTCAGGGGACCCTATGGGATGCCGGGGATCGAACCCGGGTCGGCCACGTGCAAGGCAAATGCCCTACCCAATTATATTATCACTTCGATCCCTTGATTTTTATTTGTTTTTATTTTATTTTATTTTATTTTATTTTTGCTTTTTGTGTCATATCTGGCTTTTCACAGGGGTCCCTCCAGGCTCATGCACTCAGGAATTACTCCTGGTGGTGCTCAGGGGACCATATGGGATGCTGGGAATCGAACCTGGGCCAGCCGGGTGCAAGGCAAACGCCCTCCCCGCTGTGCTGTCGCTCCAGCCCCAAAGGTGGTGGGGGCGGGCGTCATGTTTTCTACAAACTCAGCTTCTCTGCGAGGGCAGACAGGCCCATGATGGTTTGTCTCTCTGACTCAAGTCCGTGTCTGACTTCCTGGTGGAATAATCTAGAACAGTGTCGCCTAGAGAGGGAGTTCTGGGACATTGGGGTGGGGGTGAGGGGGGATGAGGTGTGGGCTTGGAGGACAGTTGGGGGCTGCTTTCTTGGAAGGTGGACTTCTGGGGGGCGCCCAGTGCTGTGTATCTTCTGAAAAGGGTGTGGTAAACCACACTAGTTTTGAGGCCACGAAAGTTTCGGGGCCTTCTCTGCTCTAGAAGGAAGTAGTGATTTTGCTCATGATAGCGGGGGGGGAGGGGAGCATCTTTTTTGGAAACTTTATTATTATTATTTAATCATCATGAAATACACAGTTCCAGAGTTGTTCATGGTTTGGTTTCAGTCATGTAATGTTCCAACATCCGTCAGTTCACCAGTGCGCATGCCCCAATGCCAGTGTCCTGTTCCCTCCTGTCCCTGCCCCTGCCTCTGTGACAGGCACTTTTTTTTCCTCTCTCTCTCTCTTTCTCCCTCCCTCCCTCTTTCTCCCTCGCTCTCTCTCTCCTCTTCTTGACTCCAGTGCATTCCCTTTTGCCGTGCATAATGTGTGTGTGTTTAACGTTCTAGAAGCCGCCAGCGCCCAGCAGGGGCCCAGTTCTCCTGAAGGTACTTTTCTCTGAAAAAGCGCGCGGGGTATTTTGGGGTTCAGGGGCGCGGGGAAAGATGGGTGCCCCGAGTGGAAATCAGTACCCCTTGCCTCAGACAAAATCGGCTTCTGCAAACCCCCGCATGGATGGGTACGTGCAGGCCCAAGCAGGAAGGGGTCCCCTCACCCTGGTCCCCAGCGCCTGGCCTTGGTCAGTGGTGCTTAGTCCAGCAAAGGCTCAGTGTCACTGATGCCGACCTTTGATTGTGGCATTAAAATTGTTCCTTTTTGATAAAGAATATTTTTTGCTTTACCTTAGCAGTGATACAAAAATGTGGAATGTGGGACCAGAGCGATAGCACAGCGGGGAGGGCGTTTTCCTGGCACGCCGCTGACCCGGGTTCGATCCCCGGCATCCCATAGAGTCCCCTGTGCACTGCCGGGAGTGATTCCTGAGGTCAGAGCTGGGAGTCAGCTGTGAGCACCACCAGGAGTGATCCAAAAGACCAAAATAATAATAATAATAATAATAATAATAATAATAAATAAATAATAAGAGTCACAGGACTAGACAGATAGTTCCACAGGAAGGGTGTTTGCTTTGCATGCAGCTGACCGGGGTTTGATCCCATAGGGTCCCCCGAGCACCGCCAGGAGTGATTCCTGAGTGCAGAGCCAGGATTAACCCCTGAGCATCACCGGGTTGGTCCAGAAGAGCTCCCCTAAAAAAAATTTATTGCCATTTTATGGGGTTTTTTTGTAATAGTGAAAAATAAAGCAGTGTTCTGCCCACTTTTCCGCAACTAGTGGGCTTGATGCAGTACAATCTCATCATTTGTTAGTTCTTGAAATCTGGACCCCTGAATTTGGCATTTTTCAGGGCCGACGTTGCTCTCTCGCTGCTTCAGTTTTAGTAAACGTGTGAACCAGGAAGCACAAATTTTGTCTATTTTTTTAAAATTTTTATTTTATTTATTTTTGCTTTTTGGGTCACACCGGGCAATGCACAGGGGTTCCTCCTGGCTCTGCGCTCAGGAATTACCCCTGGCGGTGCTCAGGGGACCCTATGGGATGCTGGGAATCGAACCCGGGTCGGCCGCGTGCAAGGCAAACGCCCTACCTGCTGTGCTATTGCTCCAGCCCCGATTTTTGTCCATTTTTAACCTCTCCGTCATCCTAGATTAGTCCCGTCATAGAGGAAAGGGGCGAGCGTCAAGTGTTGTGAGCACACGCGCCCTGGCTGGTCCACAAGGCCGTAGCCGGGTCAGTCTGAACACGCTGTGTGTATCTCCTCCCGCCCGTCACGGGAACCTCTCCACCCTCTCACTCTCCCTTAAAGCCTGAGAACATTCTAGAATTTGCTTTGGGATACAGTTATGTGCTTTGGAGGTAGATCAATGAGTTCAATTTGAAGTTTGCTGAGAGTCACGTGATTCAAAATAGGAAGCTTAGCAAGGAAGTCACAGTTCTGGGTCTCACTTTTATTTTTATTTTTTGCTTATTGGGTCCCACCTGGTGATGCTCAGGGCTGACTCCTGGCTCTGCACTCAAGGAATCACTCCTGGCAGTGCTCAGGGGACCCTCTGGGATGCCGGGAATTGAACCCGGGTTGGCCACATGCAAGGCAAACGCCCTTCCTGTTGTGCTATCGCTCCGGCCCCTGGTTCTTACTTTTAAATTTTTTTCGATTTATTTGCTCGAGCGGGCCCAGTAACGTCTCCATTGGAGACTTTGTTGTTACTGTGTCTGGCATATCGAATACTCTCGGTAGCTTGCCGGGCTCTCCGAGGGGGGCGGAGGAATCGAACTCGGGTCGGCCATGTTGGCCGCTTGTAAGGCGAACGCCCTACCCGCTGTGCTATCGCTCCAGCCCCGATTTATTTACATTTTTTTTTAATTACCGTGAATGACGTATCCCAGAGTTACTTGCAGTGACGTTCCAGGCGTGCAGTGTCCCCAAGCTCATCCCTCCACCCATGTCCCCTTGCCTCTGCCCATGTCCCAGTGTCACTCCCACCCCCTCCTGACCCCTAAGTCAAACACTTTTTTTTTTCCTTTTTCTGTTTTGCTTCACTCTCATTTTTTTGGAGACAGTTTCATTGTCCTGCCAAGTCACCTCATTTGGGTTTGGGTATTAGATTGGGTGTCCAGATGTTCAAGGCCAGCCGTGCCCACCTGTTCTTTGCTTCTTTGCAGGCGACGAGGAGGAGGAGGAGGAGGAAGAGGCTGAGGAGGAGGAGGAAGAACCGGAAAGCTCCGACAGTGAGGCCTCGTCACCCCAGCTCCGTTCAAGGGAGGCTCTGGAATCTGCAGGTAACCAGGCGGAGACCCCAGGACCTTGGCATGAGCTGCCCCTTAGCTCATAGAGATGGGGGTTTGTGTGCTTGTATTCTGAAGAACGACTTAAAGGGGACAGAGAAAGGGTGAGGCACGTGCCCTGCACGCTGCTGACCCCAGTTCAGTCCCTGCCACCGTGTGGTCCCCTGAGCACCACCAGAAGTGATCACTGAGGGGCAAGAGCGATAGCACAGCGTGGAGGTTGTTAGTCTTGCACCCAGCCGTCCCAAGTTTGATCCCCGGCATCCCATAGGGGCCCCCCGAGCACTGCCAGGAGGGATCCTTGAGTGCAGAGCCAGGAGTCAGCCCTGAGCACTGTAGGGTGTGGCCCAAAAACAAACCAAAAAAGTGCTTGGCTCATAGTATACACTCACTTAGTTGCTTTTCCTGTATATGTATATTTTTTATATATATGCCTCAGACTAAACACAGTGAACTAATTCATATCGTCAGTAGTTTTTGTGCCGTGGCTCTTTGATCTTCCAGTAAATTCTTGGAGCCCATTGAGACGTGCACGACCAAATGCTGAGGACAGCTGCGCTAAGGGAGAGCCAGAGAACATTGTAAACGTGACAAGTGAGCTAGAATTTAAAACACTTTTTAAACAGTGGTTTTTTTAAACACTGAGATGTGGGGCTGGAGCAATAGCACAGCAGGAAGGGCGTTTGCCTTGCACGCAGCCAACCCGGGTTTGATTCCCAGCATCCCATAGGGTCCCCTGAGCACCGCCAAGAGTGAGTCCTGAGTGCAGAGGCAGGAGGAACCCCTGTGCGTCGCCAGGTGTGACCCAAAAAGCAAATAAATAAACAAATATTGAGATGTGTTTAGTACTCTTTGAAAAAGAGCAATTTGGGGCTGGCAGGAGTGATACTACAGCAGGGAGGACATTTGCCTTGCACGTGGCCAACCCGGGTTTGATTCCAAGCATCCCATAGGGTTCCCTGAACACCACCAGCAGTGATTCCTGAGTGCAGAGCCAGGGTCACACCCAGGGTTTCTCAGGGCTGACTCCTGGCTCTGCACTGAGGAATCACTCCTGGCGGTACTGCCAGTTTGTCCAAAGTAGGAATGAGATAATAAGATGTTATAATAAGATGTTGTGCGGCCACAAATGCGGCCGCGCGGTTCCAGGAGCTGGTTTTTATAGTCTCTGAGTCTTGGCCATTGATGGGATTACACGGCGCCAGGGGGCCAGTTGGTGGGTGTGACCCCCGCCTACTGGAATTTGGAGGATCTGGGTGGAGGATGCTCGGCCCAGATCCGAGTAGGCTTGGAGATCTCGGCCCCGGAACCCGCGTGGCTTTGTCCCTCTGCCAGTACCTTCATGTGTGCGGAGAGTGGTCTCAGCATGGTGGTGGCTGGTCCTGGAGGTCTTCGGCTGCCGGAGCCCTGGTCGGGGCGGGGAGGAAAGCTCAACCCGCTCCCCTCCAAGGGGCCCCGGCGAGGGCAGCCAGGTGCGGGGGCAGGAGACTGCACTGTTCTCTTCTGGGAGCTGGTTTTTCTAGTAAAGATTAAATTAAAAAAATTAAAAAATTTAAAAAAAGCTCAGGAGCAGTGTGATCACTTAAACAAGCTAGCTTAATTCAAATGTTGCTGTTTTTTTTTATTTTTGGGTCACACCCTGCGATGCACAGGGATTACTCCTGGCTCTGCACTCAGGAGTTACTCCTGGCAGTGCTCAGGGGACCCTATGGGATGCTGGGGATCGAACCCGGGTCGGCCGCGTGCGAGGCAAACGCCCTCCCCGCTGTGCTATCGCTCCAGCTCCCAAATGTTGACTTTTCTATGAAGAACACACAAACAAAAAATAAGAGGCCTAGATCAAAATACCTAATAGATTGACCATTTAAAAGAAACATTTAAGGCAAAAGTGGGATATTAATGATTTCAAGAAGATTCATCATTGTAAATTAAAAAAAAAAAGATTTTCCCCCTACCTTTTTGGTTTTGTTCTCTCCTTTACCTCATAGTATGCTTAATCTCTCTCTGTCTCTCTCTCTCAGTTCTTTCTCTCAGTTCTCTCTCTCATTCTCTTTCTCTCTGTCTTTCTCAGTCTCTCCCGTTTTTCAATAAGTGGTTAGAAGAATGACAGTTTGTTTTAGCTATAACATAACTTTTTTTTTTTTTTTTGCTTTTTGGGTCACCCCAGCGATGCTCAGAGGTTACTGCTGGCGGTGGCCAGGGAACCTTATGGGATGCCGGGGATTGTTCCCAGGTTGACTGCGTGCAAGGCTAATGCCTTCTCCACTGTGATATCGCTCCAGTCCCTAACATGAGACTCATTAGAAAGAGTTTTGCTGTTGTTGTTTGGGGCCATACTCAAGTTTCTCGGAGGTAGCACCTGTCTCTGTGCTCAGGAGCGAGCCTGGGGCGCGGGAAGGGGGTGCCCAGATGGAACCCCTCAGCTTCCAGACAACTGTCTTGCCTCTCTGGTATCCAGCCCCAGGAAGGGTTTTTCTAGATAACTAATGCACCTGTGTTTAATTCCCAGGAGTTAATTTGAGTATTTTTCCCCCTTTTGAAGACTCAGATTAGCCTATTGGAAAATGTGCGTTTTAATAGTTAAGAATGCTTTAGCGTGGACTGTATTTAAATTTCAGACCCGATCCCCAGATCAAGTCACTATGCAGATCGGCAGTCATCACAGTGTAAGTAAACCTATTTTTTTTGTTTGCTTTTTGGGTCCCACCTGGCAGTGCTCACAACTGACTCCTGGCTCTGCACTCAGGAATCACTCCTGGTGGTGCTCGGGGGACCCTATGGGATGCAAGCTCTGAGAACCACCAGGTGTGGCCCAAAACAGTTGGACCCACAAACTAAAAAGTCTTGGACATAGTTTTATACCACAGGGTAATTATCACATATAATACCCAAAGCGTCAGAGATTAAAAGGGCAAGAGAGAAAAATGACTTAACATCTCAATTTGGCTGGAAAGATAGGACAGTTGGGAAGTCTTACACATGACTGACCCAGGTTCGAATCCTGAGCACCGCCAGGAGTGATCCCTGAGCACGACCTGGCGTTAATTTGGTGGTTCTCAGATCTCGGGGATCAAACCCTGGTCAGCTGCATGCAAGGCAAACGCCCTTCCCCTGTGCAATCACTCCGGCCCTGTATTTGGTGTCTTGGTGTCCACGTACTCTGTCCCTCATTTCTGTTCTCTGTTGCAGATCAAGACTTTACAACCCGTGATCATCAACCTTCGGGGCTGAGTAAGTGGCTGGTTATTTGTTCTTTTTTCTTTTTCTTTTTTTTTTTTTTTATTTTGCTTTTTGGGTCACGCCCGGCGATGCTCAGGGGTTCCTCCTGGCTCTGCACTCAGGAATTACCCCTGGCGGTGCTCAGGGAACCATATGGGATGCTGGGATTCGAACCTGGGTTGGCTGCGTGCAAGGCAAACGCCCTCCCCGCTGTGCTATCGCTCCAGCCCCAATTTGTTCTTTTTTCAGTCATTTCGTGCCCTGCCTTATTTGACCCACAAGAAGTTCCACTAGGTGGGACCTGAGCGATAGTCAGCGGGGAGGAGGGTGTTTGCCTTGCACACGGCCGACCCGGGTTCGATCCCCGGCATCCCGTAGGGTTCCATAAGCACCACCAGGAGTGATTCCTGAGTGCAGAGCCAGGAGTCAGCCCTGAGCATCGCCGGGTGTGACCCAAAAAAGAAAAAAAAAATAAAATTTTGACTAGGACTTTTATTGCAGAGGTGGAGGGCACACACCGGGCCGTGCACAGGGATCACTCCTGGTGGTGCTCAGGATTTGAACCTAGGTCAGTCATGTGTAAGGCTTCCCAACTGTCCTCTCTTTACAGCCAAATTGAGGTGTTAAGTCATTTTTCTCTCTTGCCCTTTTAATCTCTTGACCTTTGGGTATCATATGTGATAATTACCCTGTGGTGTAAAAATATGTCCAAGACTTTTTTGTTTGTTGCCACACCTGGTCATTCTCAGAGCTTGCTCCTGGCTCTGTGCTCAGGCGTCACTCCTGGTGCGCTTGGGGGATCAGATTGGGGTGCTGGGGACGGAACAGGGGTCACTGCGTGCAAGGCAGGTGAAACCAGCGCGCAGGTTCGTTTTTGTTTTTATTTTCTTTTTGGGTCCCACCCGGCGATGCTCAGGGCTGACTCCTGGCTCTGCACTCAGGAATCACTCCTGGCAGGCTCAGGGGACCCTATGGGATGCCGGGGATTGAACCCGGGTCGGCCACGTGCAAGGCAGATGCCCTCCCTGCTGTGCTATTGCTTCAGCCCCATGTTTAAGACTTTTAATTTTATTTCTTTTTTTCTTTTTGGGTCACACCCGGCGATGCACAGGAGTTACTCCTGGTTCGTGTACTCAGGAATTATTCCTGGTGGTGCTCGGGCGAACCATATGGGATGCTGGGGATCGAACCCGGGTCGATTGCATGCAAGGCAAACGCCCTACTTGCTGTGCTATCGCTCCGGCCCCCTCACCTGTCCCTCTTGGCCTGTGAGAAATAGTCGTCTGCTCTACCCTTTCACATTCACTTGTACTTTGAAACTAAATGATTTTGTTATTTCACCCCCAACCCCTGCTCCCCATTTGATCTTTCTGTTGCATTTACCTTCTCTTTTATTTATTTATTTATTTATTTTGCTTTTTGGGTCACACCCGGTGATGCACAGGGGTTACTTCTGGCTCATGCCCTCAGGAATCCCTCCTGACGGTGCTCGGGGGACCCTAGGGGATGCCGGGGATCGAACCTGGGTCGGCCACATGCAAGGGAAACACCCTCTCCGCTGTGCTATCGCTCTAGCCCCCTGAATTTACCTTCTGATTTTGGGCTGGAGCGATAGCACAGCAGGGAGGGCGTTTGCTTTGCACGCTGCCAACCCGGCCGACCCAGGTTCGATTCCTCCGCCCCTCTCAGAGAGCCTGGTAAGTTACCTAGAGTATCTTGCCCGAATGGCAAAGCCTGGCAAGCTACCTGTGAAGCATTCAATATTCCAAACACAGTAACTACAATTCTTATGGGGCTCGAGTGATAGCACAGCGGGTAGGGCTTTTGCCTTGCGTGCGGCCGACCTGGGTTCGATTCCCAGCATCCCATATGGTCCCCTGAGCACCGCCAGGAGTAGTTCCTGAGTGCAGAGCCAGGAGTAACCCCTGTGCATTGCCGGGTGTGACCCAAAAAGCAGAATAAAAAAAAACACAAGTCTCACGATAGAGACGTTACTGGGCCTGCTCAAGCAAATCGATGAACAACGGGAGGACAGTGCTACAGTGCTACTTTGGAATACTGTGCACGTTTTTAAAAGTCCATGAAATGATCTCTCTGCATTTTCGTTTCAGGCTCAGGATATCCAAAAGTATCTCAGGAATGGAACGAACGGATTGGAGGGATAAGATCGCGGAGGCCAAGTAAGTGATCAACCTGTTGCAGAAATCGTCTTAAGTTTATTTACGTTTTTTTTCTTCGAGTACCTAACATATAAAAATATTCCAGTGTCCCAGTGAGCATTTAGATGTCTTCAATTATTCCATTAAGGAAAGTCAGCCAAGCTTCGCTAGTGGGGTAATTTCTATCATCTTGTACTGCAGAGATGGGCTAGTATAAAATACAGATAATGTTGTTTGAAGATCAACGAATTTTGGAGCATGTGGGGGGTGGTTTGTGGGGCTGGTGTAAAAGAGGGATCATTTTTCTGAAAAATCAATGAACTTTGGAGAGAGTCAGAGTGTGTGTGTGTGTGTGTGTGTGTGTGTGTGTGTGTGTGTGTGTATACGCGCGTGCTTTTCTTGGATTACACTCAGCAGTGCTCAGGGCTGACTCCTGGCTCTGCGTTGAGGGACCCTGTGCATTGTTGGGGTCAAGCAGGTACCCCACCTGCTGTGTGTCTTTCCAGCCTTGTTTAAAATAGCTACCTATAGCACTTGTTTTTTGAGGGGGGTTTTGTTGTTGTTGTTGTTGTTTGGTTTTTTTTTTGCTTTTTGTAGCATTGTATCACTGTCCTCCCGTTGTTCATCGATTTGCTCGAGCGGGCCCAGAAACGTCTCCATTGGAGATTTTGTTGTTACTGTGTTTGGCATATCGAATACGTCACGGGGAGCTTGCCAGGCTCTGCTGTGCGGGCGCGATTCTCTCGGTAGCTTGCTGGGCTCTCCAAGAGGGGCAGAGGAATCGAACCCGGCTCGGCCAGGCCGGCTGCACACAAGGCAAACGCCCTACCACTGTGCTATTGCTCCAGCCCATATATTTTTATATAATAATAATATTTTGAGATGAAGAATCGCACTGTCCTCCCGTTGTTCATTGATTTGCTCGAGCGGGCCCAGTAACGTCTCCATTGGAGACTTTGTTGTTACTGTGTCTGGCATATCGAATACTCTCGGTGGCTTGCCGGGCTCTCCGAGAGGGGCGGAGGAATCGAACTCGGGTCGGCCAGGTCGGCCGCATGCAAGGCAGACGCCCTCCCTGCTGTGCTATCGCTCCAGCCTTGCTTTTTGTACATGTTTTAAATAAGGGCTGGAATCTACTAAGATCAGGTTCAAGGGCTGTTTCATGCCACAGTTATTTAAATATTAAATACCAGAATTTTATTTGAATCGAATCACCATGAGCTCCAGTTACAAAACTTTCATGTTTGAGTTTCAGTCATGCTTCATTCATTCACACAATGATGGAACACTCATTCCTCCATCCGTGTACATTTTCCACCATCAATGTCCCCAGTATCCCTCCCCCTCGCCCTCGCCCCTCCCCTCCCCCAGCCCCTATGATAGATAATTTCTCTCATATTCGTCTCTACTTATGGAATACCAGAACTATTTACATGGCACGAGTAGATGTGTTGAAACAGTCATATATTGAACCATATGTCCCAGTTTCTCTAGCTGGGTGTAGACCTAAAATCTTGACTCTACTAAGAAAAAACAAAATTATGCCTTTCAGTGACCTAAGCTTGCTCCCTTTTAGCATCTAATCACAGTAGGTCCCTAGGGTCTAAGAGACTCTTTAATCTTAAACAATTATTATTATTTTGGCTATTTTTAGAGCTCACACCCGGCGATGCTCAGGGGTACTCCTGGCTCTGCAATCAGGAATCACTCCTGGCAGCGCTTGGGGGTCCCTATGGGATGCCGGGGCTCGAACCCAGGTTGATTATGTTCAAGGCAAATGCCCTCCCTGCTGTACAATCGCTGAAGCCCCATCAGAGACCCTTTATTATTTTTTTTAATTTATTTTTTCATTTTAGTGAATCACCGTGAGACACAGTTACAGACTTAACAAACGTTTGTGATTATGTTTCAGTCGCATAATGATCAACCAATGCCCATCTCCACCACCAATGTTCCCAGTATCCGTCCTGCCACTCCCTCCCCTTCCCCTTCTGCCTCTGTGGCAGGGCATTCCCTCTTACTGTCAGAAGCCCTTCAGAGGACAGCAGAATTCTACTCACTGTGTCTTCCTTAGGTGACAGACGGTGATTGGTTAGTATAACCTTTCAAGAAAACGGCTCGGTTTCGGGCTGGAGCAATAGTACAGCAGGGAGGGTGTTTGCCTTGCACACGGCCAACCCAGGTTCGATTCCCAGCATCCCATGGGGTCCCCTGAGCACTGCCAGGAGTGATTCCTGAGTGCAAAGCCAGGAGGAACCCCTCTGCATCGCCGGGTGTGATCCAAAAAGAAAAAAAAAAAGAATCGAGTAATTCTCAGCTGCTCTATTTCACCCACTCATGAATCATCCAAAACTGAAATCACTTTTCCCTTTTTTGTTTTTTGTTTTAGGGCCACATCTGGCAGTGCTCAGGGCTACCCCTGGCTCTGCGCTCAGGAATTGCTCCTGATCGCGTGGGAAGCCGGGGAGCGAACGCAGGTCAGCCGCGTGCAAGACAAACGCCCTCCCTGCTGTACCGCTCTGGCCCGAGATGTTTTTTTTAATTCATTTTCTAAACTGCCACCGTGTAAGGGGGTTGCTGGGAAATGTTTTGAAATTTCATAACCACAGATCGAAAAGTGACATGATGGCAGGTTCTTCAATGTCATCTTTACAATATCTAGCCGGGATGTGTAATGGTCAGAAAATCTGGAGGAAATACTTAATGTAGTTAAGTAAGACTCAGGGGCTGGAGCGATAGCACAGCGGGGAGGGCGTTGGCCTTGCACGCGGCCGACCCGGGTTCGATTCCCACATCCCCCCGAATACCTCCAGGAGTAATTCCTGAGTGCAGAGTCAGGAGTCAGCCCTGAGGATGGCTGGATGTTGCCCAAAAAGAGGGGGGGAAAAAAAGACTCAAAAGAAGGAGGCCAGGGAGACAGTATAGCCTTGCATTTGACTTGCCTTGCATGGGGCTGACTCGGGTTCGATCCCCGACACCCCCTAAGGTCCCCTGAGCACCGCCAGAAGTGATCCCCGAGTGCAGAGCCAGGAGTAACCCCCGAGCAATGCCTGGTGTGGCCCCAAACCCTCCCCAAGTCAAAACACTGTGCTCGAACGCCTGACCCGTGTCCTCACGCGTAACCGGCGCTGTCTGCGTTTCTCTCTCTGCAGTATCTTCAGGAAGCAAGAGTTCCGTGCCTGGCGGTTTTTCGGACGGTAAACGCTTTTCTTTCCTCCTCGATGCGCTTTTCGTTCTCACTCTGTCCCCGACGGCTGACCAGCTCTAATAGATAACGGGGGTCGACTGCTCCAAGTTTTTCCTCTTAAGACTAATGTACTGGGGGGCTGGAGCAATAGCACAGCGGGGAGGGAGTTTGCCTGGCATGCGGCGAGCCGGGTTCAATCCCCGGCATCCCATAGGGTCCCCCAAGCACCACCAGGAGGGATTCTTGAGTGCAGAGCCGGGAGGATCGAACCCCTGGGGTGGGACCCAAAAAGCAAAAAAAAAACAAAGATAAAACAAAAAAAAAACCTAATGCACTAATAGGCCAGAGCCGATTCCACCCACTAGGGGGCGCCAGAACAGCAGCGAGGGCTGGGGCAGGGGTGGGGGTGGGGCTCGCTGCGTCCGCCTGGACTGTTACTGTGTGTGAAGGACAGTTTCCAGGTGGTTCTGCGGTGATCTTTCCCCCCAGTGTGGGCAGTAGGCCACATCCGATTGGGGGTCTCTGGACCAGGGCTGATGGGGGCAGAGGTGACTTGTCCCGGGCCTCGGATCTTCCGCTTGTCCGTGTTCCTGGCTGACCTCCGCCCTCCCGCCTCTGCCGGGAGTGGGCCGGGGTGGACCACTGAGTGACCGTCCTTTCTGCCCTCCCTAGATGACAGCCTGCGGAAGCCAGAGCTCAGGAACCAGCGCCCGCCGAGCGCCGCCCAGCGTAAGTATCCCAGCGCCCAGATGGGCCAAGCCCCTGACCCAACACTCCACTTCCCAGTGTTGACATCGTGTGTGTGTGGTTTTCTTTTTTTTGGGGGGGGGGGTCCCACCCAGCGATGCACAGGGGTTACTCCTGGCTCTGCACTCAGGAATTATTCCTGGCGGTGCTCAGGGGACCATATGGGATGCTGGGAATCGAACCCGGGTCAGCCACGTGCAAGGCAAACGCCCTCCCCGCTGTGCTGTTGCTCCAGCCCCCTTTTTTTAATTTTTATTGTTGTTACTGGGCTGGAGCGATAGCACAGCGGTAGGGCATTTGCCTTGCACGTAGCCAGCCTGACTGAGCCAGGTTCGATTCTTCCACCCCTCTCAGAGAGCCCGGCAAGCTACAGAGAGTATCTCGCCCGCACGGCAAAGCCTGGCAAGCTCCCTGTGATGTATTCAATATGCCAGAAACGTAACAACAAGTCTCAAAATGGAGACGTTACTGGGCCTGCTCAAGCAAATCGATGAACAACAGGTTTGAAAGCATTGTTGTCAGAGACCGAGCCACAGGACAGCGGGGAGGGCGCTGGCCTGGCACGTGGCCGACCCAAGTTTGGTCACCTGCTCCCCTTATGGTCCCCCCGAGCACTGCCAGGAGTGATTCCTGAGTGTATAAGCCAGGAGTAACCCCTGAGCATCGCTGGGTGTGACCTCAAAAGCAAAAAAAAAAAAAAAACCCAAAGCTGGGAGCTGGGGGCTGGAGCGATAGCCCAGCGGGGAGGGCGTTTGCCTTGCACTTGGCTGACCCGGGTTCGATCCCCGGCATCCCATAGGGTCCTCTGAGCACTGCCAGGAGTGATTCCTGAGTGCAGAGCCAGGAGTCAGCCCTGTGCATCGCCAGGTGGGACCCAAAAAGAAAATAAAAACAAAAACAAACCTTGTGCCCTGCTCACCGAGCCACCGCTGATGACCGTCCTTTCCTGTCCGTTTCCTCCCGGACAGAAGCACCCAGGCCACCCAAAGCGCCATCCTCGCCGCCCAAAGAGTCGTCCTGGCCGGGTCCTTGTTCCTGGCCGCTGCTGCTGCTGCTGGCGGTGGTGGCCGGCGTCGCCCTGTACCTGATGGGGCCCAGCGGGTCCCCCGCGGCGGACAGCCCGGACGTCCAGGTGTTCCAGAGTCAGATGCAGCAGCTGCGGCAGCGCTACCGTGGGCAGGACGAGAAGCTCTGGCGACGCAGCGCGGCGTTGCTGGAGAAACACCTCAACGGCTCCCGGCCGCGGCCGCAACCTGCCATCCTGCTGCTGGCGGCCGCCCGCGACGCCGAGGACGTCCTGCACTGCTTGGGCGAGCACATCGCCGACGCCTACGCCGCCTCGCTGGACCACCGCGCCCCGGCCATCCGCATCGACGGCGCGGGGCTGGCGTCCCGGGACAGCGGCGCGGCCAAGCTGCAGGTGGACGAGGCGCTGAGCCGCGGCTTCGAGGGCGGCCGGGCGGCGGCCGTGGTCCACCGGTTCGAGTCCCTGCCGGCCGGCGCCACCCTCATCTTCTACAAGTACTGCGACCACGAGCACGCGGCCTTCAAGGACGTGGCGCTGGTGCTCACCGTCCTGCTGGAGGACAAGACGCTGGGCGCCAGCCCCGACCTCAAGCACGTCGAGGAGAAGGTGCGCGACTTCCTGCGGGTCAAGTTCATCGAGGTCGGCGCCCCCAGCGGGCACGACCGCATGGACGCCGACAAGCTGAGCGGTCTCTGGAGTCGCATCTCCCACCTGGTGCTGCCCGTGCAGCCCGAGCGGTCCCAGAAGCGGGGCAGCTGCTTGTGACCGGCCCCGGGTTCAAGGCCCGGCTGGCCTTCCCCCCACCCCCACCCCGGCGCCGCTCTGCGGAGGAACGGGTTTCTTTCCCAGGAGAGTCGGCTTCCACGGCCAACACGACTCGTGGCCCATCCCGCGTGCGGCCTCGTTTGTCGGACCCCTGAGCGCGGCCAGGGGGATCCCCCCGGGTGGGTCTGGACCTCAGGGTCTGGATCTTTGCTGCACCCCACTTTCTGTGTGCTGTTTTGTGTGTCTGCAGCTTGGGCTTTCACAGGGCAGGGGTCTCCCTGGTGGCGGCGGCGGCTTCTGTCCTGAGCCGCTTACGTGGGCAGCGACCCACGTCACCTGGGCTCAGGCACGACAGGGCGTCCGTCCTGGGGTTGTGGTAAGGATGGTCTCTGTGGGGTGTTTCGGGTTTTTTCTTTCCCCCACCCCTCCCCGCTTTGTTTTTGGAGTCGTAGGCAAGGAGGCGGCCCTGGGCAGAGCGAGACACTGTGAAAATGAATGACAGGAAGATTTGTCACCGCAGAATGTTTTAATCAGACCAGGCCAGACTGCTGCCACCGTGGGGAAGATGCTGGCCTTGTATGCCACCAACCCCGGTGCAGATACCCGGCACTGTAGAGGGTTCTCCTTGGACACCGCTCACACTCACGCCCGAGCACAGAGCCAGGAGTAACCCCTGAGCACCGCAGGGCGAGCACCCACACATATGCACACACCGACCAGGAAACCGGGTGCATGGAGCCACTTCCGGAATGTGCTTTTCACACGCTCTTTGCCTTTAAAGAAACGGTGAGGGGAGGGGTGGGGAGTGTTTCGGAAGCTTTTTTCGTCCTTGCCACTTTGATGCTGAAGCCCCCGTGAATCCTGAGTAGTTGCTCACGGGTGTACCCCAAAGTCTTGGTTGTGACTGAGGAACCGTAATTTAGGCAACTGCAAACCGTTGGTGTAACCAGCCCTTGAGAAAGGTTGATGTGCTCCGTGCCCATCTGTTCTCTCTGTAGCCTCTTCATAATGCTCTCGCAAGGGGTACAAAGATCGGCCAAGTACACCGAATTCCATGTGATTTGAGTTCCTCGGGCTCCACCCGGCCCCCGTTGGCTTCGTGTTGAAATGTTCTGTGGGGCCGAAGCGATAGCACAGCGGGGAGGGCGTTTCCCTTGCACGCGGCCGACCCGAGTTCAATCCCCAGCATCCCATAAGGTCCCCCGAGCACCGCCAGGAGTGATTCCTGAGTGCAGAGCCAGGAGGAACCTCTGAGCATTGCTGGGTGGGACCCAAAAAGCCAAAAAAAAACAAAAGCTATATGCTTTGACAGGGCTCATCTGTGCTCTGCTCTGCAATTCGTAGACCCTTCAAATTCTCAAGGCACATTTCTTTTTCTTTTTTTTTTTAAGTTATCAGCTAACTTCTATGTGAAATACTGTTTTCAGAGAACTAGAGCTAGTCTGAGGGTTTCCGCCTTTGTCTTTTTTGTCTCTTGGCTCTGCTCAGGGCTGACTCCTGGCTCTGTGCTCACGACCAACTCCTGGCTCTGTGCTCACGGTTGACTCCCAGCTGTGCTTGTTCCAGAGCTGACGGTAAATGAGGTGTTTGCAAACTTCGCGCCCTGGATTGTTCTTGGTTCCTGGTCTTATTTACAGAGCATTCTAAAAAGAATTTCGAAGAATTTATTTTATATATTATGTACATTATCTTTGGAGAAATGTTTTTATTAAATGTTTCATTGACCAAAATAAGACCAAAATAATTTGAAAATAATCAATGTTATATCTCTCAGAAAAAAGAATTATAATTTCTCATCTCTCTAGAAATACCTTTTGAAAGCTATTTTAGTAATTTAAATAAATTTACTTTTTTGGTTTGTACGCTCTGTATACTGTCTGATCTTAATGGTTTATCTATTTCTTTTTTGGGGGGGTCACATCCGGCCATGCTCAGGGGTTCCTCCTGGCTCTGCACTCAGGATCACTCCTGGTATTGCTTGGGGAACCCTATGGGATGCTGGGGACCGAACCCGGGTCGACCACGGGCAAGGCAAACGCCCTCTCCCCAGCGCAGGCCGACCCAAGTTCAATTCCCAGCATCCCATAAGGTCTCCCAAGCACTGCCAGGAACGATTCCTGAGTGCAGAGCCAGGAGGAACCCCTGAGCATTGCCGGATGTGACCCAAAACACACAAAAAAGTTACCATTTCTTATTTTTAAAAAATGTTTTTTAAACCTATAAAAGTGATTTTTGAGATCTTAGCTTCAGCACCACGGCAAGCTCTGGGAACTGAGATGAATGACAAGCCAGCACTCAGGCCTTGAGGATGTGAAAGCCCGTGGATGAGTACCAGGAGTGCAGCCTGAGAGCATGCAGGAGAGTGTGGGGACCCCACCCCCCACCCCCATGGACCTGGCCAGGCAAGTGTGTGACCATTGTCCTTACAGTGACAAAGGGGCAGGTGTGGGGTCAGTAGCTACATCTTGTTGGGTCAGAGGGTGAAGACGCTGGCCTTGCATGTGGCCCGCCTTGATTTTATCCCGGCATCCCATAGGGTCCCCAGGGACCACCAGGAGTCACTTCTGAGCACAGAGCCAGGAGTCAGCCCCTGAACATCACCAGGTTTGGGCCAAAAACCAAAAAGAAAAAAAAAAATTCTGGGGCCCGAGCGATAGTCCAGTGGGTAGGATGTTTGCCTTGCATGTGACCGAACCAGGTTCGATTCCCGGCATCCCGTAGGGTCCCCCGAGCACTGCCAAGAGTGATTCCTGAGTACAGGGTCAGGAGGAACCCCTGAGCATCACCGGGTGTGACGCAAAAAGCAAAAAAATAAAAAAGAAACCCCAAATTTGTGGGTCTGCGGCTGTGCCTCATGGTGTTTCACTCATGAAGATTTAAGGGAAAAAAATAAAAATAAACCCCCAAACTAAACAAAAACCACACAGAAACAAGGAAGCGCCATTCAGTGAGCAGATTCCAGTGGCACCTTGTCTTTGGAAATAGCCCCTGAGAAAGAGCTTTTCTGTTCCATATTAGTTTCTAGTAACTGAAGTTTGCTCCTCTGGGATATTTGTGATGATCTTGGCAATGGAGATGGACAAACACAATTGAAAAGGACCTTCTCATTGAGATACTACACTTGATCTTCGCCAAAAGGCCGAGAAGCAACTCCCTGTGTCGTACCCAATATGCCAAATACCAGTAACAATGATGGGTCTCATTCTCCTAAAGAGCCTTGAATATAATCTCAGGGCTAGGATGAAGGAGACGTTACTGGGGCCTGCTCGAGGCAATCGACGAATAACAGGATGATCTGTGATCTGTGTCTCATTCAGAAAATTTTGCCAACTTCCTGCCTCTGACTTTACCTCCAAGTTTTCTTCCCCCCACCCTTTTCTTTTTTTTCTGGTCACACCTGGCAATGCTCAGGGCTGACTCCTGGCTCTGCACTCAGGAATCACTCCTGATAGAGTCTGGGGGACCCTATGGGATGCCGGGGATCGAACCCCGATAGGCCACGTGCCAGGCAAATGCCCTCCCCGCTGGACTATTGCTCCAGCCGCACCTCCAAATTTTAGTTGTTGAATTAGCAGCTCTACTCTGAATAATTCCTGACATGTCACTTTGACCTTTGTGACTTCCCGAAGATTATCAGTCCATGTTACCCGGAAATTTCTTCGTAGGATTCAGATATTACACATCTTCATGTGATCTTATTCCTTTGACATGAATGCTTGAGTTGCAACACTGTCTTTAAGGCTTTTGTGAAGTATGGTGGGGGACAAAATAGATGCTCACTAAACATGACCTTCACGAGGCCAGAGAAATCGTACAGTAGGGAAGGTATTGGGTCAATGTGGACACCACCTATGGTCTCCCAGCTTTGCCAGGCGTCACACTTGAGCACAGAGCCAGAAATAGCCCCTGAGCACTGCCTTGCACGCCACTGACCTGGGTTCGATCCCCGGCATCCCATAGGGTCCCCTGAGCACCGCCAGGAGTGATCCCTGAGTGCAGAGGCAGGAGTAACCCCTGTGCATTGCCAGGTGTGACCCCCAAAACCAATAATAATAATAATAAAAGAAGTTTTTAAAATAAGATTATTTCTAATAAATGAAACCTCTAGAACTCAAACACGAGAGCGCTCCTTAGCACTGCCATCCGTAATGGGTAAAGCTGTTGAAAGGGTATTTTTTATAATTATTTTTTCTTTTTGGGTCACACCCGATGGTGCTCAGGGGTTACTCCTGGCTCTTCACTCAGGAATTACTCCTGGCAGTGCTCAGGGGACCATGTGGAATGCTGGGAATCGAACCCAGGTTGGCCACGTGCAAGGCAAACACCTTACCCGCTGTGCTATTGCTCCAGCCCCGAAACGTTTTTTTTTTTTTCAAAAAAAAAATTATTTCAGGGGCTAGAGCGGTAGCACAGCGGAAAGGCGTTTGCCTTGCATGCGGCCGACCCCGGTTCAGTCCCTGGCATCCCATAGGGTCCCCCAAGCACTGCCAGGAGTAATTCCTGAGTGCATGAGCCAGGAGTCAGCCCAGAGCATTGCTGGGTGTGACCCCAAAACAAAATAAACCTCTACAGCCATTTACCCTTTTAGAAACCAACTTTACCTCAATAAAAGGTTAATTAAAAGCTAAAGACCAAAAAATTACAAAGATCAAATCAATTACAAAACAAGAAAGATACAGCAGGTTGGGCTGGAGCAGCAAGACAACAGGCTGGGCGTTTGCCTTGCACGCAGCCGACCCGGGTTCGATCCCCGGCATCCCATCGGGTCCCCCGAGCCCCGCCAGGAGTGATTCCTGAGTACAAAGCCAGGAGTACAAAGCCCTGAGCCTCACCAGGTGTGGACTAAAAAAAAAAAAAACAGAAAAAGAAATACCCAAATGTTTCGCCTTCTGGTCGGAAGAATCTGTCTGAGCACTAACAAAGGCCAAACTTGGTTGGACAAGAGGACACTGTGTCCTTTGAACTTCAGAGCTGCGGGGGGGGGGGGGGCGGGGGGGCGGGGGGGGGCGGGGGGGCGGGGGGGGCGCGGTGTTGAGCACTCCTGGTAAAGTTCACTTTGCAGACAGAATGAGGTCATGGTTCAGATAACAAACCCTCCCTGGCGCCTCCCTCTGCGTTCTCCAAGGGACTCGCTGACGTTATCTTAGAGCAAATATTATTACCCCCATTTTAGAGGTTCAGAAACGAAGATACTCGGCGAGGAACTCGACTTGCTTTAAACATCGTCATCCTAAATCCGTGATGAAACCGAGAATTTATTCCAGGAATGCAGTCGGCTTCTCTATCAGATAGGCGAACTTCCTAGATAGCGAAAGGGTTTTATTGGCCCGAATTTGTATGAAACTTCTCGTGTGATAATTATCTTCTGTAAATAACTCAATGAGAAATGCTCCGGCTGTGTGTCGGCTCTCTTGGTTCATACCCAGCGATGCTGAGGGCTGACTCCTGACTCTGCACTCAGGAATTACTCCTGGCGATGCCCGGGGGACCCAATGGGATGCTGAGGTTCGAACCCGGGTCGGCCGCATTCAAGGCAAACGCCCTACCCGCTGTACTATCACTGTGGCCCTGTATGTCGACTTTGATGCTGGAGAGAGGTAAGAAATGATTTGTAAGGGCTAGAGCGATAGGACAGCAGGGAGCGCCTTTGTCTTGCACTTGACCGACCCGGGTTCGATCCCCGGCATCCCATAGGGTCCCCTGAGCCAATGCCAGGAGTGATTCCTGAGTGCAGAGCCAGGAGTTAGCCCTGAGCATCGCCGGGTGGGACCTAAAAACTGGGAAATAAAGCTGTAAAAGAAAATAAATGAAGGACTAGAGCTTTAGTACAGTGGGTAGGGCATTTGCCTTGCATGTGACTGACCCGGGTTCGATCCCCGGCATCCCATGAGGTCCCCAGAGCACCACCAGGAGTGATCCCTGAGTGCAGAGCCGGGAGTCAGCCCTGAGCATTACCGATGTGACCAAAAAAGAAAAAAAAATGAGTTTAAGAGAAATTCTTTCAGATAGAAACAAACGGGGGTGATGGTGGGGGAACCCAGAGAATTTATGTAGTAGAAGGCATTTTAGGTATTTATTTTATCCTTTATTTTTTCTGGGGCTTGGGGCCACACCTGGTGGTACTCAGGGCTTACCCCTGGCTCCGTGCTCAGGTTCTGGTGGGAACTAAAAACGGGGAATGGGGATTGGAGCAATAGCACAGCGGGGAGGGTGTTTACCTTGCATGCAGCCGACCCGGGTTCAATTCCAGCATCCCAAGTGGTCTCCCGAGCACCACCAGGAGTAATTCCTGAGTGCAGAGCCAGGAGTAACCCCTGTGCATCGCTGGGTGTGACCCCCAAAAGCAAAAAAATAAAGCAAAAAACAAAAACAAAACAAAACAAAAACAGGCAATGTGTGTGTATAACCAAGATGATGCAAGAATTCTTTACAGAGAGGCGTATGATAGGGAAGAGCAGAATTTTAGTGCAGAGAAGAGCATCAAATTATTCCCAGCCAATTGTTAGCATCTCTGTGCATTATCTTATTTCCAATTCTATGCAAACTTTTCTGTTTCTTTTTCTTTTTTTTCCTTTTTGGGTCACACCTGATGATGCTTAGGGCTGGCTCCTGGCTCCAAAGTCAGGAATTGTTCCTGATGGTGTTCGGGAACCCTGTGAGATGCCGGGAATCGAACCCGGGTCACCCGCGTGCAAGGCAAACGCCTCCCTGCTGTCCTATCGCTCCGGCCCCAGACGTTTGTATTTTTCTAGCCAGCTCCCCCTTCAATATCCCTTTGGCCTCTGCCTGTCTGTTTTTCTGCCTGACAGTTCCAGCTGCTCTTGCCCCCGTTAATAAATATCTGTTGGGTCTCCTGTAACTGC